TCGGAATGCTGCGACCATGTAATGATCGGTCTGACCTTCATCGTCTGTGTTGTTTGTCCCTGTCGTAATCCACTGACTGACTTGCACGTGAAAGTCGGATTCACGATGAACAGGTCGAATTTCACTTAACTTCAGTTGTTGAAGCACCGGACATATGTCTGCGACCTACCGTTGTCGTGTTTCTCGACATCAAATGTGCCTTCTGTTCGGTGAATCGATGTACCTTTTATGACTATTTGGGTTTTAAGAGTGCATACATATCACAGTAGCCCTTTACGCACGTATTTTGTGTAGATGGACGACCCATAGCTAACTCGGTCTATCCACAATACTTACAGCAGTGTGAGACAGGAATGGTCGCTTTCACCTTTCTTTTCCATAATCGCTATCTACGAAGTGATGGAAACTGCGTCCAGTGGACTCGACTTGGAAGGCGTGGAACTGTTTCGAGCTTATAGACATTCTTGATTTGGAGTATCTTGACAATATCGCCATTATTTGTGATAACTTACAAACATGCCCAGCAGCACTGCAGACATTACTACTGGCTATCAACCGTTTCTGGCTGTGTTTGTACTGTTAATGGGCGGAAACCAACTCTTCCGCGGACCCTTGGTGTAAATAATCTGGAAGTTCTTTTGGAATTCACCTACCTAGGCAACGATACCTGTGGGATGGAGTATGAGGTCGCAAACTGTACAGCAAACGTTTGAAGTGAGTTTGCCAATCTTCACAACCTGTGTCACAGGTGCGATGTCACTCTCACTCTAAAGAGTAAAGTGAGCCTACAACGCAGCCGTACGTTAAACCCTACTGTACAATTGTGAATTCTGGCCCATCATATCGACAGACGTAAAGAGTCTTCTTATATTTGACCACCGGTGTTTTTGCAGATTAGCTCTCACCTAGTTGGAACTTTGCGAGCAATGAACGGGTTCGCCGCAGTAAGGGGAAGTGGACCGCTCAGCACCCTTACTTCGCGCACCAGGCTCCGATGGCTGGGCTATGTGTTACTTATGCGAGCACACCGACTCTCACGACGCATGTTGTTTGTGCGATATCGGTATGTATGGTTGAAGAAGGGACAAGACCAGTCGGTGGCCTGATCAAGAGTAATGGTGTTTCTCGCTTGGTACTTCCCTTTTTTTTGTTGCGTGCTGACTCGGGTTGGGGGCTAGAAGGACGATGAAAATGACTGGTTAGAGACACCTGGTGGCATAGCGAAGAACCGACCTCAATGACATCTGTGTTGTGAATTTCTTCATCAATCCGCATCCCACTTAACCTCCCCCTCCAGCTGCGATCTTACTACTATTCATGATGAAAACAGAGATCACTATTATGTTTTGTTTTATCTTTTTTGTTAATACCTATTTACCTTTTGTTACGGTGCCATGGCCGATGTTTATGATGCTGGTGCGTGTATTTGCTCCAAATTTATTTTACTTTGCGTGGTTGTGAGCCGTTTTAATTACGTGAAGCGCTGAATTACGTCTAATCTGAAGCTGCTCACTTGAATGCTGCAGGACACCCGTATATACGCAGTGGCGATGATGAGTAGTACACCGATCGGTCTAAAGGTTTTTTACTGTCCCACGTGATCTCGCATTTGCGTAAAGGTGTACGATATGTGAGCCTAAGTTCGTCCATCGATCGATCGATCAAGCACCATACGGTTTACTGCAACACAGCGCTTTGATGTATCAGTTGGCGTTCTTGATTTGGCTGACACCTCTTCTGAAACGGGCCATTGGAATGTGTATTTTTTACTCTATTTTTATCTGATATTGTCTCCCCCAAAGTCGATATGTATCATTAGGGTAGGGCGTTATGTGATGTCTAGATGCTTCGCAGTTTCTACCATGCCTGCCTGCGATTCAGTTTATCGCAAACTCCATCCCGTTGGATGGAGGCAAGGGTCCAACGATGTCAAGATGAACACGGTCGTCGGGAAGAGCAAACGTGCTGGGGACGGTAATCGTGTGACAGTGGATGTTGCTGGTTTGCCAAGTGATACGGTGTTTGGCCTACTGCTGGATCTCGGAGCGCATGTTGTGCCAAATGAAGCGATCAGTAATCAGCTTGACGGTGGCTCGGGTGTGAGATTCCATGCAGATGGTCATAGACGATGCGGCGGTATTGCTGAGGGACGAAAGGCTACAACTCTTCTGCTTGCACTTGAGCCCACATTGGATAGTTGTTAACATACACCAAGACTGCATTAACCTCACCAGCTATCGTCACCCTTGAGAGTGCATCCGCGTTGGCATGTTGCTTTCCTGGTCGATAGCCGCAAGTAAAGTCATATTCCTGTAGCTGTTCCTGCCAGGGTCAGGGAAATTTTAAAGCCACTACAGGGACCGCACTTTGAAAGTACAAAAGTTCTGTTACCGAATCACCAACCTCTCGCTATCGCCCTTGATTTTGACGACCATGGGCCATAGTTTATCAGTTGACCTACTTTGGCAGCTGCATTACCAGCGACTGGAACCACATTCCCGGACTTGCTATGTTTGTGATTCCAGAAGGGATTCACCCTTGATATGAAAGACCGTGAATGTGAGGTCACCGCGCGCTGCATCTAACTGCATTGCTGATGCCATCCCGCATGATGGTGAGACGTTTGCAACCAAACTGCCAAGCTGAGAACAAATGAACAACTGAATGCCCATCCCCCTCAATGGTAGTGAGATTGGACTATTTCGGTTTGTGGATCTCAATTCTTTGATCATCTTTACCTACGGACCATTGTTAGTGTCGAATGACACCAGTGTACCCGCAACTATGATGTGCGTGGATGGGCATGATGGTGAAATGTTTGATGCAGTAAGTTACATTGAAAAGGTTGCATTGGTTTAGGCACATGATACCGATCGCGGTCTACGCACATCGAGGATAGTCTAATGTATACATGGCGGCTCAGTTTTCCACGCGGACGATATTTGCTTGTTAGTGTGCGGTGAGGCAGCGGTGGAGTAATTTTAATGCTACTCGTCCGTCGCGCCTTGTATTTAAAGATCCATGCAAGCTAGGCGCTGCAGAGGTTGGTTCGCATCAGCCATCAGTGACGCGTTTTCTGTTGATTTTTAACTGCACTACCCGTTTTAAAGGTAGCTGGTGCCGAGTAGTTACCTGTGGGGTAGCGAAACTACAAGAAGGCTATCCCACCGATGCCAACTTCGCACAATAGCCAACTTTTATGTAGGTGCTTTTATTCCAAGTGTTCTCATGCAGCATTTAGATCATAGACTAGGTCTTTCTCCTTTTGTTAATAATGATGGATCCTCATGGCATCATAGCCCTATGACGACGAAGCATCAGCTCAAATCAGTGACTGTTGTTGCAGATACCGATCTAATGTGATCTTCTTTCTCTACTCGAGTCTGGCACATATTCCATTTTATCTCACGGGTTTGTGGTGCCGGCTTTTGTTGAACCAAGCGCTATGGGTGCTGTTTTCCATTCCGAATCCATTTTACTGTAATTCCCAAGGTTGCGTAATTGCCTGTGAGCAGATATAACATTTGTTTTGCGTGATAATAGGTGTGCATCGGAGCCCACCTATTTCTTCCTTTATCCCTTACTTCTCCATTAGCTAGCTCTTGAATAACTCTGTCCTTCCCGCTTACAGTTGAGTAGAAATTCTGCAGATCTACGGGTTAATTTGTTTATATTGCTGTCCCATGCGGCTCTGTTGTATGCCTGGTTTGGCTCCTTTACTTGCGCTGTTATCTAAACCTAGGTGGGGATTTATACGTTTCGTTACACGCATTGCTGTGTACTGCTGCAGCACCGCCTCGGCAAACCACTAGTTCTTACTCTCACGAAACAGTCATTGGCATTGGGGGGATCGATTTAATTTCCTATGTAGTTCTGCAGTCATGGAGGTGCTATTTGTGCGCATTAAGCGACTTTTCTGGTGTCTAAAAATTGTCTTCGGCACTTAGTCAGATTTACATCGTTTCAATATGTGTAGCATTATTGTGCGAGGATGCAAGTGTCGTTGTTCGTTAAGCATTTTGATATGTCGTTATGCACAACTGGTATCTACGAAGGGTCGCTAATGAGAACTCGGATGGCGTTTCGCAAATCTCCAATCAGTGTCTGGTTACGTACCACCTGATATCTCTTTTAGCTGCTTGTTGCGGTTGCACCGCCTACTTTTAGTAGCACATATAGGACATCTGCCTTTCGCCTGCCATCTTTTACCCTTATATGTGTCATCGGATGCAATTCCGGGAAGGTCAGTAAATGACATGGCGAAAAGGCCCAAGGATTTGGCCGAAATACTCGGTCACCTTGGTGCCAGCCTCGGTGACACAATCGCTTGTGCACCGTATCCGACATAGCATAGTCGTGTCGTCGTTCGGGTTCTAGCGCTCGGCTTCTTGCTTCTAGCTGGAGCTCTTTTCATGCTTACGCTATTGCATTTTCTGTTTTTTGCGCTCTTTTGCTTTGCGATTTTTTCTGTTCCGTGTTTTTTTCACTTTCGGATTATTTCAACTTTTTGACCATTTTCCATTGCTTTAGCGAACTTGATGTACCTATTAAATTCAATTGGTCGGATTTAAGGCAGCTTCGCTCCGGTGGTAGCATATTCCACTTTCTCCTTCCTCTGTATTTAGTACCCTGGTTTGCCTCCCTTCACGTGATGCTCATTGCTCTGTGAGCATCATATGAGGTTTCGTATTTCGTACTTTATTTTCCATTACTAGTTTTTCCATTCACTTTGTTTGCTTCATGGCTCTTCCATCTACCTCAGAATGGTGCAAGAGGGGCTGTTCTTCTCATCTGCCTCATCGTTTTCCCCTCACGTGTAATACAGCTTGCATTTCCCAATGCTCATGTTATCGAGCCCATCGGTTTATTGCGAAATTCCCATTTGCTCTTCCCACATCAATTATGTCAAAAAACCACCTTTGGTCGCTGCTTATTTCAGCATTTTGTACTAACTGCATCCAATTCTTTTTCTCACTTTGTTCCACGTTCCTTTTACTTAGCCAAAACCGCGTTGGCGACGAGTTCAAGAAGATGGTCAATGTTTTTATGTTAACGAAACCACAGACGAAAAGGTAATTCATTCGCTCAGTGCTAACACCAACTTTTATTTCACGAAGCTTATTGTGCGCCGCTTTTCTCTATTGAATATCCGGCTAATGACTTCCAAACTAACAGTAGAGGGATTTGTTTCTGTCAAGCAGTTGACAGCAGCAGAACACACGAAGTGACCCCCTCGGTTTCGTCCAATGGAATGACTTGCCATGTGTTTTTGTGGATTGTTTGACAGAAAACATGTGAATCGTTGCACGAAGAATTGCCTGGCATCCATCATTTTTAGAGTGAATCTCAATTGTGCTCTAATGTGCATGCTTGCCCCGGAATGGTTAATTGGGTAATTGGTTTTTTTAATTTATACGCTTACTTAGCTTCCGATTTCCAACCGTCCATTTGATCAGCAACACTTCCACTGTTTCCGCCATTGACAGTCTTTGCACTTATCTAGCGTCTGGTGTAGTGACCACATCGAAGTGCTCTCTCCACGGTCGCTTACCCGTTAGCTTACACGAGATTTTGTTGTCAGGAGTGCCCGTCTCCATCGGAATTTCCTCTTCCAGCAATCAGTGGGATTAAGTAGGCGCTTTGAATAGCTCCCAAGTTATTGTGATGACGACCTTCGACTTCGCTCTTCAAGATGTTTACATGCTATATAGAATCCCGAGTAACCATTAGATTAATTGAAATGGGCGAGTTGGTTTCTCTGGGTCGAAGTTTTCCTAGCGTTTGCAAACCCTGGAGTGACAGTTTAATTTTAGCCCTGGTTTTAAGTAGGGGATCCGTGGGCGTCTAAAACTCAGATTGTTGAGGATAAACGTCTTTAAAACTATCCAATATCAGTTAGTGAAATAGATATCGAAAACTATGGACAGTGAGTCCACTTTCACAACAATATGATAACTTGTTAGGTGGAATATCTTGAAGAGTGGTTCAACTGATCTACATTGTGTACATCGTTGCTTGAGTACTAATATCCAATGAGGCAATGTGGGTTAAGACAAGTAATGAGGCAGTTGTAGCGGAACGAATCTGCGTCTTTCTAATGGGCGTTCCTGACCATCATCGAAATCCTCTGTAATCCAACAATTCACGGGTCTTGACCACTTCCTTTCTAGTATATGAGACAAGGGGAAAGTCTTTTCGGATTGATGGCGTCAGTCACGCTTGTCGTCTACAAAATTGCGCGCGGAACGGTATGTAGAACCGTCCGAGATGTTAGGCCCGATGCAGTCATCCTTGAAACAATCAATACGTTAAACTCCAGACGTTCAGCTATCCGCGGATGTGTCGCGCTCGTTTCCACCTACTTTCGGGACTCATTGATCACTTCATATGTACACACGCAGTCCGTGATCTTCTTCATAGACGCCATTTGTAGTCTTTTTCCCAAAAGCCTGTCTGACGACAGTACTATCCATCATCATGAACAGTAACAGAGAATGTCGTTTGCTGCGCTTACCGGCAGCAAATTTCGACAATGGAATAACTTATGTTCATAAACGAATACAAGCCACAAACCGTTTTCAGTCGACGTTGATGACGTTCATCATTATCTAACTACTGGAAGACAACAGGCTGGGCATTACTTAAATCCTTTGCCACTCAGAAGCAGTCAAATTTAAGGAGCGAAGATGCAGTATACACACTCCTTGTTACCCATCGATGTACAATTATTCCCGATTATAACACCCAACTTAGCTCCTGCAATAAGATGACCCACTGACCTGTTCATGGCAGATAAACTGTGTACGAACTAGTAGCACTAATCAGGTACCAGTTCAATCGGTGGGGGTGTAGGCAGTAATCGAAAACAGGCAATGTGTACTGCTGCTCCATACTCATTCTGTTTACAGGTATCCAGTCCATCCGGATTGAGAACGGTATCCATCACAACTCAGTTTGTCGTTAATGCATCAGTATCCAATTTATTTAGATACTTACATGCGAGTCATAGATTACAATTTCAGAGGCTTAGCAGACATCTACACTCAGGAGACCCAGAGTACGTGCAGATGCAGCGGTAAGTACTATGAAAGTAGCAAAAGGAATCAAACGATGTAGTCCGATAATAGTTTTTCATGACAGTAAACTATTTGGGGATTCAGATGTCATCGTTAAAGGGACTATGAGAGGTAGGTTTCTAATGGGGGTCTGGAAAATCACGGAACGAGTAGGCGGAATGAAACTAGGCATCATCAACAGTTTCCCGTTTTTGTCTCTTCACTGTTCTCACACGACCACTAATGCGAGATGAGGTTGGAATTTGATGTATTCATGACGGTGTTGTGCGTGCTTTAATATCGATATGGGGTTCTTAGGGAAGACAGGAAAACAATTCGGGTTGTCAGTATTTCGCTCATAATATGATAACACATTTGCGGAAATATGACGATAGTGCATACAATGGGCGATTTTCGGATATTAATGCCACCTCATTTCTGACCCACGGCCTTAAAAACTAGGTGCCTGAGTTTGCTTGATGTTATTCACATAGTGATCAAGCTCACCACCCAACCCAGCTCAAAGGACTGAAGACGTACGCAAGCCGCCATGTCATGTCACTATCAGTAGTACACATTATCAATCGAACGAGGACAGCCGCAGTGGGCCAATCCATCGCAATGAGACATGACCCTACCGTAGTGCGATAGTTTGCGTGCTTCAGAGATCCATTTAGCTATGCTGGCTGGTGCTTTTCTGCACCTAAAGAGCCAGTCACACCAGATTAGTCATTGGCCAGACGCCAGACAAACTCAGGCTCCTGGTCCTCCAGGATGCGAGTTAGAATGAAGGTGGCTCCTCACTCCTTAAAACGGACTCCTTGTAGCCCAACACCAAATCCGCTGCAGTGCCGTCAGGTTTTTGAACCAAAAGCTTTCGTTGAGAACGCTAATCCTTCTGCTGTCTAGGCCTGGGCAATCTGACAGTTACCTGCCCACGCAATACAATGAATTCTCTTCAAACATTTTTTGATGCTCTGGCCGTCGCAGAGGATAATCAACGGTACCCTATCAGCTGCATCGAGCAGAGTGGATAGGGGTTTGCATGCTACTGCTCAAGCCTTCCCGTCTTCTTATTCCCCCTCGTACGCTTCTTCACCCTTATCGTCCCGTTGCAGCTTCACTTTTATCTCCCTTGTTTTCAACCCCCCAATTCTCGGCCCTCCCCCACCTTGCTTCAATAGTCGCCTGTCTTTTAGTTTCAACTCACATGTGAACGCAGAGCGTCATTCCTGCCCTGTCAACAGGCCCATGTCCAAGCAAGCGGTCCATTCCAGTTCATCGGCTTCCATTTGGAGCCCTCGATCCTCCTTCAAATTAGCATGCCTCAATGTTCGCACATTGCTTCAGATCGGTCAACAGGCAGCACTTGCCCGAACATTAGAGACCCTCTCGATCGATATCTGCTGCTTATCGGAGACCCGCCTGCAAGACTCGAGCTCTGTGCTCACTCTGCGATCCCCTTAGATGACACCAGCAGCGTTTTCTCTTTGTGCCTAAATGACGACGCTGCAGCTTCGAGCACCGACCAAGCCGGTGTTGGTATTGCCCTGAGTCCCCGGGCTGAAGCTGCTCTGGTTGATTAGCTGGATATGTGTGGTTCGATTGGCTGGTTCGTTCAAAGCTTAGAAGTCGCGCGGGACAAACGCGTCTATTCCTCATCGCTGCCTACACGCACACAATCTCTGGCGATGATTCGGTAAAAAACGATTTCTACCGCCAACTGACCAAGCTACTTCGCCACAGAAGAAGCATGAACACTGTTGTGCTGGCGGGGCATCTGAGCGCTCAAGTTAGAAAATTATCCACTGATGAACCTCATCTGGGCGGTCAGCACGGTGTGGGCTGCTATAATGATAACGGTGAGCGGTTATTTCTTTTGTGTGAAGATGCTCGCTTATTTCTTGCGAGTACTGACTTCCGACACAGCACCCGCAGGAGCGTGACTTGGCACCCACCAGCCTTGGACGCAGATCGGTCACATTGCGATAAGTTACTGCTGGAGTGGCTGCATCCAGAACTGTCGCTCGATTTGGAGCATATGTGTGGACATTGACCATGCATTTGTATGTGCTGACCTGCGGATGCGTTTTGGCGGACGCCCACGACGATGTTGTGAGTGCATTGGCACCAGCCAACTGATGAAGCCAGCTGTTCTGAATGCGTATCAAAGTACGCTGACATGCGAGTTGAGTAACCGCTCACTGGATACGATTGAAGCTCACTGGTCTCATGTTCGCCAGATCTTACTAGCAGCGGGCAAATCTTCATGTTGTAAGTCTGATCGCCAACTTGTACATTGGGTCTTTTCGCAGTCTCTGGAGCTTATCGATGCTCGCCGGCACATTTCGGCTGAAAGCGAACACAATGAGATTCACAAAGTGCTCCGGTCAAAACTCCGTGCTGAAGAGAGACCGCGAATCCTAGTGGTCTCATCGTGCATGAAGGTGGCCGCTACCCTTGGTAACCATTCTAAGTTATTCCGTCTGATACGCCAAACAGGCAGCGAGAGACCTGGTGGTAGTGAAACTATATATGACGCGAGTGGACAGCCTAACCACAACTTGTCAAAATTCTTGTTGCGTTGGGCTGAGCACTTTGAATGACAATGTAATCGGTCGGAATTGTCAGATTTCTCGCCGGCCACTAATCGCCCCGTTCCCTGGGCTGTCCCTTTGGATCTGCTCTTTCGTTCAGAAGTCGAACGTGAGATCGCACTGTTGAATTTAAACATAGCTGCGGGACCAGATGATCTTCCTCCAGCCCCATCACAGTCGGAGGATCTGCACTTGTGAATGATTTACACGAGTTACTACTGAAACTGTGGGAGCAGGAAACTGTCCCAACCGACTGGAGCTGCCCCTTCATAGTCCCAGTTTTCAAGGGAGGCTCACGATCGGAATGCGGCAACCGTAGAGGAATCAGTCGGATCCCCATTGCCATCAAATTACTTGCCTCTGTCATCTTTCACAGACTGACTCGCGCTCGTGAAAGTGAGATTCGTGAGGGGCAAACGGGGTTTTTTCTGCGTCGTTGCAGCATCGACCAACTCTTCACTTTGCATCAGTTGTTGGACATCGTCATGTTTCTCGATATCAAAGGTGCATTCGATTCGGTGGATAGACGTGCTCTTTGGGACTGTCTAGTCAGCAAAAGTGTGCCCGAGCATTCAACGCGCTTAGCTCGGGCTGAGTGAGGGCTTACGGCCAGCTGTCGTCGCTCTTCAATATCTCCAGCGGTGTGAAACGAGGATGCTCGCGGTCACCTTTCCTCTTCAACATCGCTATTGACGAAGTCATGGAAATCGCGTTCACAGGACATGACTTAGAAGGTGTGGATCTGCTCCCAGGAGAACGACTTCTTGACTTAGAGTATGCAGACGATATTGCCCTCATCTGTGACAGCTCACAAACGTGCTAAGCCTCACTGGACAAATTGGTTGTGGCTGTCCGTCACTTCTTGGTTTGCTTCGCACCCTCAAAGATTGGCCTGGACCGCCTCCTGTGCTGACCCTTTGTGGAGAAGTCGTTCAAAAATTCAACTACCTAGGAAGGTGTATCAGTCTCCGTGGGATTGAAGATGAGATCACGAACCATATAGCAAAAGCTAGAGGCGCTTTTGCTAATTTTCGCTACTTATGGCGCCAGCGGGCATCACTCTCCTCCTGAAGGGTGGAGGGTACAATGGTTGTGAAACCTGGCCCCTTAGATCAGCCAACATAAAGAAGCTAGTTACATTCGACCACCGGTGCCTTCGCAATTTGGCTCACATCTGGTGGGAACACCGAGTGAGCAACGAGTGTGTTCGACGTCTTGTTTACGGCACAGGAAAAGGAACTGAACCGCTCAGAACCGTCATTTCACATACCAGGCTCCGATGGCTCGGGCACGTGTTACCCATGCCAGCCCACCGACTCCCGCGACGTGCGTTGTTGGTGCGCCGGGTGTGTGGATGGAAGTAGAGGAGAGTTGGCCAAAGCGATGACTTGGTCGAGAGGAATGAAGGCCTTCACTTCTGTGCTGGCCTCAGTTGGAGCGTCTCGGCTCCCTGGTTGGGGTCCGGAAGAAGATGAGCACGTTTGGCTGGATACATTTGTTGATATGGCTCGGAGGTGACCTCAGTAGCGTTCGTGCTGTGAGTTTCTGTGTCTCACTCACTTTTCTCTCTTTGCCTCTCCTCCAACCACAATCTCACTACTTATCCTTGTATAATTTTGCATGGTCACTTTTTTGCTGCATGGTAGCCGGCTGCTAGCTTAGCGGGACGATGCCCATCCGTTACCGGTAGCTTAGCTGGCTTCCATCTGTTGAATTTTCCTTTTTTATTTTCTCTATCGTGGCACAGCAGCTGAGGTGCTTTCCATCTCTAGCTAACATATATAATGATGATGATAATGCAGTCGGCCCATACAAGTTACAGGCACTTATCGTTGCATTCTGGAAACACAAAGACACAGACAATTTTTTTTATTGATATTGCCTTCAACGTAATGCTCCTCTCTGATGGGAGCATCTAATGGGAGATGCTAATGTTCTTTAGTTCCCTCTTGGTAAAATACTGTCTTCTCTTATGCCTGAATGTGTTTCCAAGTTGCACCGCTTGCTCTAGCCAGAACATTTTCATTTGACCCTCCGGTATCTCACATACTTTGCTCTTTTCTTGGCTACGTTTTTGATTCATCGTTTAGCATTACCTTTATCTGTTTCATCGTTTCCTATCTTGCACTCGCTTATTCCCGCTTCCTTAACAGGGTCAGCAGTACTTTATACACGCAGCAATTCAAACTGCGCAAGGTACCGTCGAGTCTTCCTCAGTAACGCTGTTTCATGTATCGTCTCAAGCCGCATTAGCCTCAACTGAGTTCCTCAGTGACTGCCACTACGTGACAACTCATGTGCCGTACGGGATTTTGTCTTTCTCCATAGTTCATATTTTGCGCTACTATGCTATTGAGTTATTAACACGTATGTCTTGAAGGCATATTCTGCTTTTTCTGAGTCAAACGAGGTCTTGTTAGGGATCATACTTTCTTCTTCTGGTCTTGCGTCAAATCATGTGGCATTACGTGTATCGTCTCCTGTGTCTCCTTTCGTGTACGCTCTTCTGGCAACTAGGTCTCCTAGGCCGTACCTATCCGATTCCAATTATCTGATCTCCGTTTACGATACTGTCATCGAAAGCATTTCATCCGTCTGTTTTAGGGCGTGGGGAGTTTTCGCCTGACAAGGGCTGCCCATAAAATGCCACAAATGTCCCTTTAACATCACTACGACGTATCGGATGTCGCCACTAAGTAGTCACTGCTCCTTGCTTCATTCCTTTGAAGCATTTTACTCCAGCATTCTGTTGCGTAAATTGTGGGAGGATTGGGCCCCTTTTTGGTAATCGAGCAAACGAGACGTATGAGCTGAGTACTCACTCACCGGCTCCCAATGAGCCAGATTCCCTAAATTCTCCCTGCTGCCTTTCGGGTAGGCCATTCAACCTAACGCTCCGGGGTGCTTTTCTCTAAGTCATTTCCCTGCTTCTGTTTGGGCAACCGGGTTGTATCGTGCCCTCTGAAGAAACCACGGATTGTGGTATTGTGTTCGGCTTTTTTACGATAACTGTACCTTTCTTTTGATTTTCATGGCTTTTGATAGCTCGATATCTATTCGTTGACTATTGAAAATATATTTTTCTCCCTCGTATGCCGCGGCAAGCTTTGGATACCAACATCTCCTGACCACTGCCCCTTATTTTACGCGTGTACACTTTCGACTGGTTTGCGGAAATCCCTTCGCATTGTACCGTATTCGCTAACGCGAGTTGCACATATTTTCAGAGCGTGCATATTTCACAAACTTCTGTGGTGCTTCTGGTTAGTTAGACTCTGAACATCCCGATATTTCATCGCATTTTGTCGCTCATTATTGTCTGAGTCGAGAGTCACGAGTTGTTGTCCTAATGATGTTATCTTAGTGTCTGGGTGCTCAAGCGTGATTCACTCGCCCGGTTCTGGTTAGCCTCAGCAGTTTTCTGTAACAATCGACCCCTACTTCGCTTTGATCTGCCGTTTGGAGCTTGCTGATTTATTCTGCGATCTTTTGAAGTGTTTCCTATTGATGGACCCTAGAATCTTTGCCCACTTCCGCGTACTGTCTTAGTAATTGGGCTTTGATCAAATGTTACCTCCTTATGACCACATCGCCTTACTAACGCAGTGAATTGTTACAGCTTCACTCTATCACACACACACCATTGCTCGCATTTCATTGCGTTCGTTGCTAGTTACCAGGTTGGTTAAACATGCTTCAGAGAGTCGACATTGCAGTTTGTATCTACGCCTTTGTATCGTACCCAGAACCTTGCTTCGCAAGATGACACATCATCTGAATACAGTGCGCCCCGCCCACATACACTGTCTGCGTCCGTGTGATGGACAGAGTTTACCACTGCTGAAATCTTTACGGTTTTACGTTGAACTGATGCTTTGTTCGCACTCCGCACATATCACGCTTTCATTTTGTCCCACCTATCTATCTGCGATTGCCCATACATGTTTTTTTCTCCTTCTTCAGTGGATACCAGCAACCGATTCTGGAGGACAAACATACTACTATGAAGCCAGATCACGTATATCTGTGTGGACATTAGACGATTTTATTGGTTCTGCGGATGGCGAGGATTCAGAAGTTGGTGTTACTGGAGTCGACCCGCATAACATTGATGGAACTCGTGACGATGTTTCGATTTCAGCTGGTATTTCTACTTCCACACATGTTGGCGGGTCAGACGATGCTGTCGGTTTGACAGATTCCCATAAAGAGAAACGAATAAGTGGAAACAAGTTTCAAACTGCTGCTCTCCGCCTCTCCTCAGTGAGTCGCCCTTCGCATTACTTGCCCAATTCCTTAATTAAGCTTCTTGGTAGCCTTGCCATCGCTTTATTATATGTGCTCTGGACGTTGCCGTCTATTCGGTAGGCATCATCAGCCAATTGTATTTCTATCTTGCTTTCTCACTTTCTACATGGTCGTCACAATTAGTGTCCTTGATCGTGCTGTTGCCTCTTTCTCTAGCCAACTGATGTTTACCTCCCGAATGCATTATACACACCCAGAAAACGTGCCAGCGATTGGTGTTTGAGCATGATTTTGAATTGCACGAGCGCCAATCTGTATGGGTGTGTGCACCGAGAACTCCTAAAGTCACGCCTCCATTTGCACCTTTTCATCTGTGCCACCCTACTGACCACCAGTGGACGAATGTTCTTGTATCGCTCATTCATCATTTGGTGTACTGCAGCACAGTTTCACTTCCATTGACTGCGCCATGTAATCCAGCAACAGTGGAATATGCCTTCCCGTCTGATTCTCATCCATGTGCCACTGTCGATCAATTCCATTTGAAATTATCTGACGGCATTATCAAAGCATCCTTATTTGCTCATCATAATGAGGCCGCGGGCCAGTTGTAATGTTAACGCGGGCCGCATCTGACCCGCTGGAGTGACTTTGGACATCCCTGCTCCATTGGCACTAATTTCCCCTCATTGATAAGTGCACCAACGAGTACTGCTCCACGGTCAAGTCAGCTCGTCAGCCCAAACGAAGAAGACTGACAAGGTCACGTTTCTTGGACACATGTTTAGTATTTCACCCTATGTTTATCGAGATAGGGCCTTGTTTTGTTTGATTTACTATGGCCTGCACGTGATGTGAGGGTGAGATGCAGGAAGCGATAGATTAGGCTTTTGGTCAATACATTTGATTTTTACTGCTGCATTGCACTCACTCGACTAACACCAACATCCTCCTTCTCTCCTTTTACTCGTCACCGTCCGATCGCTATTTTGTTACTTCCCCAATCCATAGCTCCGACCGCTGACTAGGCTATTTTCTGATGGCCAACCTCTTGAACCACTATCCCCCAGTCCTGATGATCTTGTACAAAAGCCGTCCGCTGTTGCCAGACGCTTTTCACGTAATCAGATTACCGCGGAACACATTAGCGGACCACTGGAAAACAAATTATCTGTAAGCCTAACGATCAGTTTTCTCAGTTTATTGCACCTTTATTTTGATTTCTATTTTACTGCTTTAATTCTCAACAGCTTGTTGATGGCATCTGATTTTCCAGTACTGTCTTCTAACGGCATTTCGGATACCCATCCATAGGTACCTAGTCCCGACGCTTCGTTGCCTCGCAACCACCGCTGATCACACGTGGACTAAGGATACTGCGAGGGCCGCCCGGTCCCTACGCAGGCTCGAACCCACGCCCCCGAATTAAAAGGCACGCTTGGGGTCTTTAAGGCTACGGGCCGGCCTATCTCTCCTCGAATTTTGTGACCAATTGCTTTTCTGGTGATCACGGTCTGTCGTGTGATGAGAATCCACCTGCATTTCGGTCGTTCAAATCTATTCTGACATGTGTTTTATTCAAACCTCCCTCTCGCCTAACATTGTACTCCGCCACTTGTTTTACTCTTTGGCTACGGCACTCAAATGTAGCTAGCCAGACTAAGGTTCGAGCTCAGGGCTTAGTGGTTATCGGCAAGCGCCTCCACCACACGACTACCGGTACAAGATACAAACTAAGGTTGCGTTCACAACTTATGTAGCATGCGTTAACTGCGGTGCTAAATGGCGTACTTCTGAATAGGCCTGCCGGCATTCTTCACCTCCCGGGCTCGAGCTCGTCCAGCTATCTCTACCTGGAGACAAACTGGTGGCCAAGTATCGTGTTGGAGGCGAGTGAATCTATCCACTTAAGATACGGTCGCGTCAACGTTCCCAAAATAAACTTCTGTCCCATCTAGAAGCTCACCATCAATGATTCCTGTGGATTACGCTAAATGTACGGCGTCTTAGTATGGTTTTCTCTTTTCTCTGTCAGTGATTATCTTGTACTAGATACGGCCTTCAAAACACGACGTATGACCTCCTACTTCAGTCATTGTTCTCAGCCCTATGACTCTGCTATTTTCCGGTGCACGCACACTATGCCATATAGCCTGCAAAGCGCAGATATAGCTCCAAGTCAAGTGTATCGAATGTTCACTCCAGTTATAGTGGGAACTTAATCCATACTATTTCGTATCTTGCACCAACAATTTCCCCCTTGTCTCAAGTGTTCGATTGGTAAGTTGCTGTTTTGTTGTGTGTGTTAACGTTTATCTACACACTCGACCCGTCTGCACTACTCACCTGAAGCACAATTCTTCTGTTTACTTTCTCCATATTTTTCATTTTCGTTAAATTCAGCACTTCGAACGTCGTGGTATTGTCAACCGCACCAAATACATTGAAAATAATATCCGCGTGAACAAACGATGGAGTGAATGTGTGCTTACTTTATCGGGTCCGTGGCTCTTTTTCCGAAAGGTTTGTTACTTTTTTAGCATAATGTTGTGTCACGCAGCCTAACTCCCCAATTTATTTTCAAAATACTTTCACATCAAGTGTGGAATCCTTTTCAGCCGTTTACGCCGACACTGTGGATATACTACAACATTGGATAAGTAAAATGCAGTGACGAGGAGAACAAAAAGAGAGTTCATTTTCAATCAAGCTACTGGTCTTGCAACTGATGCATCATTGCTTTCGGGTCGACTAACAGAGGAGACAGATAGAGAAAGATGATGTTACGATATGATGAGGTACGATAAAAAGATTAAATTTCGAGAAGGTAGAAGAAAAAGCTATCGTACCGTCTATGCTGAGTTCCTCTTCGTGTATTTAACCGAGTCAGAGAAGGTATCTCATTGGCTCGACAACATTGTTTGTGTAACTGTACGAGCAATATATTTGGAAGCTTTCGGTCTGTCAAACGTCCTGTATTAAAGGGTTGCTTTGTTCTCCGAGTGGGGCGTTCCAACTACAGATGTTTCATTGTCAGGCTAGATAACATCATCAGTGCGGTTTTCAAGGTCTTAATCGCAAAACCTCGGCCAAATGATCACCTCTTCGGCCTGTCCGTTTCAGACCTATTGCCAACTTGATCTGTAGAGCTTCGTATACACTCTTGCTCCAGATGCTAGTTGATGGAGTTATGTCCCGAATGCCAGGCGTCAATGAACTTAGGTGCCTTTCGGCTCCTTGTTCCAAGTACATTAACGTTATCCAGATCAAATAGGTGTCCTCAGCATCCATATGTACTGACATTAACGATTTCTCATCATAACGACGGATGGCCAGACTTTGCCCGTGTAATCCTGTGCCGAGTATTTTTCCGGTCTGCCACTCGGTAATTGTCACAAATCTTACAGGAAATTTTGTGAATCACACCAGATGTTTGCTCCGAATTGCTTCCGTTGCTTCGTGCGCAAAATTTATCCCGTTAGACATTGGAAGCCTCGTCGCAATCAGTCGCAACTAGACTAGACCTTAACATAGTGCGATGGTTTGGATATCTCTTCGACCTATTGAACTATACTAGGTGGTGCCCCCGGGCTTCTTGAGAGCTACTCCCATTAGGTTGGTCAGTGGTTAGAAGTCAGCCAAGCTTTAAAGCATTGCCACTTCCCCACTGCTTTGCTGACAGGCTTTTGAGCCAAAGGCTTTGGCTGAGGACCCTAATCATTCTTCTGTCCAGGTTTGAGCGCCCATTACTAAACTTCCTTCTATAATTCCCAGCTTAATTGACAGCAACCGAAGTGCCACTAGATTAGAATCATCTGCAGCCACCTTCCCACAACTCCAATTGGACACCTATCGGCAACAGTCTCTTATAAGACCACGCTGTCCCGTTTCCATGGCGATGTTCAACGTTCAAGTCAAATACCTCAACTGGCTGCACTCGCACACACATTGGACACACTGCGTACTGACGTGTGATGAGTGTCCGAACCTAGGATCAATGACGCTCACCGGGTTGTTGTATTAACCACGCCCGGCTTGTCCTCTCGCTATTGGTCGCACGCATCTGGAGACGCTTATACAGCACTCACGGGTCAAGCTTTAGTAGGTATCGTACTCAGCTCCAAGACTGAGCCATCATTGGTCCATTGGATTCCGGTGTACAGCCATTTATGTGCAGCCCGTTTGACGACATCAGCTAAGGTGGACTCATGAAGTAATACAAAACGCTTTGTCTTGATGATTTGCGCTAATGCTCCCACCGACTGCAGTTCTAATGCTGTCAAGGACACATTCTATCACGAACTGAACGCGCTACTACGCAGTGCTACTAGTTCAGATACTATAGTACTTGCAACGGATATGAACGCACAAGTAGGGCGTCTGAGCTCTTCAGAAGCTCAGCTCGGTGGTATTTCTCGGCTTAACTCCGAATGGACTAACAACGGTGAGCGTCTGCTGCAACTGTGTGCGGAGCACCAGTTGTTTCTTAGTAGCACTGCTTTTAGACACAGTGGGCGCCGAAGTGCCACTAGGCGTCCTCCTGTAGCTGGCCAGCGATGGACCCAAATTGATCACATTGCCATAAGTTACAGGTGACGTAATTCCATCCGGAATTGCCGCTCGTACTGCACTGCCTGTGTCGGCTCTGATCATGCCTTGGTACGCTGTCGTTTCTCCATAAACTTTACTGGGAGGCGCACCAAGCGTCTCCGCCGATTGGCAACTAATAAATTGTTTCATCCCTCTGTCAGGCAAGCCTATCAAGACGCACTGCGTACCGAACTTTCTCTGTCTTGTGCTAATGATACTGGGCTTCATTGGAATATGATAGCCGCTATGCACGACGCAGGAGCATCTGCTTGTGGCACTATTAATCGTCACCGCACCAGTCACTGGATATCCGAGAGGTCGGAGAACCTATTGGAATCCAGAAGAAACCTCCTGGTTGGCTCTGAGCACAATGTGACCAGGCGGGCTATTAGGCATGAACTAAAGCGGAGCCTAGGTGCTGACAAGGAAGCGTGGTGAACCAGTCGGGTTCAAGAAATAGGGGAGGCGGGAGCAGTAGGCAATTATCTCATGCTCTTCCAGCTGATCCACACCACTGGTCCCAGGAAACCAGGCGTCAGGGAGACCATCAGAGACAGCGCGGATGCACTGATACACAATAAGGAGCGCCGGATGGCTCGTTAGGCGGAACACTTTCAAGATCAGTTCAGTTGGCCCCCTAATGCTTGGCTTTCTCCTGCTCAGGTGGTGCAGGTCGAGCCATGGACGGTTAGTTTAGAGGCTCCATCGGAAGCTGAGGTGCGAAATGCGATTCCAGCCCTCAAGCGTTTTCGTGCTGCTGGCGCAGACTTGGCAGCAGGAACTGAAGTCACTGACGAGCAAACTGGTTGCCGTCGGACCGTCTCGCCTTTTGGGATAGAGTCCACGTGGTCCGCCTTGTGCTTGGCTCGAGACTTTACAGGACATGGTTCGCAGCTGGCATCAGTGGTGCGTCTGTTGCCGTCTCCTAGTGTGACTACCCGTTTAAAGTGTGTTTGGTGCTGAGTTATCTGCTTGGTAATGTCGGATCATGATACGGGACAGTGAAAACCGCAAGGAAGCCGTCTTGCTGATGCCGCCTTTGTATGATAGCGAGCTGTTTTTGACGGTGTTGTTGACAACTTCTAGGCGCCTTGACTCAGAATGTTTGCTTACGGTAGTAGGGTTTACCGTAAGTCTTCTTGTTTGTATGGCAGCGAAGCATCAGTCCCAATGGCTGCTGTAGTGCTGTTGATGATGATGAAGCCATCTCAAAAATTCCATTGTCATAAGTTGAATGCTAGTTTTCCTCTCTGTTACACTTGTGGATGCGTGTTGTTGTTGTTGTTATTTTCTTGACATAATCTAGGGTGGTAATTCCGTTAGAACCTGTTAAGTAGGTGGTCTTCCTCCGCGTTCCTCAGCTGCAGATGCCGACCGACCGCCAATTCAATCTGAAAATGGTTAAGCTACTTGGAACAAGGAGCCGTAAGGCGCCTAAGTTCATCGAGGCCTGGCATTCGGGCCATCAACTAGCACCTGGAGCAAGAGATTGTATGCGAAACTTTACAGATCAAATCGGCAATAGGTCTCAGACGGACAGGGCGAATAGTTGATTTCTTGGGATGATCTCTTGACCGACAAACGTGAGTCAATCGATAGCTGGCATTCAAAGCAGGATACGATAAATAGCCACTCAAATCTGGCGTTGGCTCACAAATCTGCGATTCAGACCTTGAAAACCGCGCTGATGATGTTGCCTAGCTTGGTAACGAAACATCTGCAGTTGAAACGCCTTGCTCGGAGAACGAAACATCCCTCTAATCCTCCTCGCGCTATACAGGTTTTCTCACTTATTTCGAAACATGGTGTAACTTTCGCTTATTTCCTACTGTCTAATAAACTGCTTCTCCCTGAAGGATCGACTATTGCAACGTAAGTGACATGGTAACTTTTCCCAGTTCACTTAGCCCAATATCCTTCAACCGGCGAATTGTAGTGGTCTCGTTGTCAAGGCCCTTGACCCCATTAGAATAAGATAACTGAGCGCTAGTAGTGATGTAATTAGCCGTGAAGCTAGCGCAGCAATCCAAGGCAAAGAGGACATTACTTTACTGACGAAGGATTCACAAGGTGCGCTCGTTAGATTTGAAAGTTATTAAGTAGGGCTAGCAACTCGGTTACTCGGTAGCTATCGGCTTCGCGACTTCCTTATGTCAGAATGAGCACCCGTCCATCTATACAGCTCACTCCTTGAGTAGTATCCACGATGGTGCTATGCACCTGCCACACCAAGCTTTCCGCACACTCTTCATGCTTACTGACCAAGTCATCAGCCGGTTATCCTGGGGACACGCGCAACCGAGAGCACCAATGGTACACTGTATAGCCAAAGATGAGGGTTCGACCTACCTCGCCAACTTCGACTATTCAATTTTAGAAGACGATCGATAGATCGTTTGCTGTTAAGCACTAGTTAGCGGATCTCCAATATCTTCCAAGTTACTCCACTGCATGGGAGCTGTACTACGATTTGACAATTTCTTCGTTGATTCGTCGATCTAATGTGATGCAGCCTCCCGCTAATCTTCACGTCAACTTTCTTTGTACATCCAAATCAGAGAGCTGCTCTACAACAAGGGAAGCTTGAGTTCAAGCTTCACGTTCAAAAGATTGACTTTTCCGAAGCGACTGAGGTTGTGACGTCCAGGAAACATGCACTTATGGTGAGTGTGGTGTATCTTAGTAGCCCTTCTGTGCTTTTCTCTTTTGGTTCTGTCTACTAACGATACTTCGTTACAAGCGATATCTCAGTCATCTTTTGCTCTTCTGTCTCAATGCGTGGATACATGACATATACATTAATACGTGGTATCCATTCTTATGTATCATCATCGTGAGCTGATCTAAGTCAAATTCTGGTATGTTTCGGATTTGAACTTTTTTGTAGTGCTATGTTTCGAATCAGTGCACTGTTGTTACTTCATGGTAACGAGAAAGACTTTGATTTGGCGACTGTTTTGTATGCACAGCTATATGTGGTGTTCCGAGTTAGCGCGCACGATTGCGATTTTAATTGTTGAGAATGAGTGTGCATCGGGTGCCGTGGGAGTTGTGGGAGGTGTATGGCCGAATTCGTCTAAGTCTGAATTCGCTAAGTGATCTAGCCAATGGTTAGGTTCGTCGTTGTGCGAACAGTGTAAAACTGTCTCCTTGTTTGTCCGCTGCACGGTGCTCAGGTTTGCGTTATAAGAGAACATAAATGGTTGCACTGGCATTCTTTCATGAAATAGCTGACGTTCATGTTAGAGTCCCACAGATCAGGGACTTGTGTATTCAGCTTTCCCACATTACTCATCAGATTCCGCCAGTTTGACTGATCCGCTTCTGCACGATATCTGGACGCATTTGCATAAGTGTTCGTTTTCATCTGGCTGTCTGATCTGTGTAGACATTAATAACTAAGCTTTGTGTCTGCCTAGGTATGACATCCCAGATTACCAACTACATCTTCCCATCTCCGACACTGTTTATTCTGGGCATATGTATAGCCCTATCAGAAAAGATTCGTCGCTGCTGGACTCAGCTAAACAGCCACTACACACCCAGGAACGCGCTAGACGGCCGTTTCGTCCAATTGGGACTCATCAATGACGTGCACCCGCCGGATTTGAACTCACGGCGTTACTCTCACAAATCAGCGACTAATGCCACTAAGCCATGGGTAACGCCGGCGGACCGCCATGAGTGATTCGTGACTGCGTTATAACGCGGCTCATCCTGCACTGCTATGCATGTTATACACATGCAGAGGACAGTGCGCAGTCTGGCTGAATCCAGCTGGGGCTTTTCTTCGATTAGCTACCCTTGTACTTTTTCCTCCCAATATGGCTACATACATCCCCTCAACACATCGTTGGAGAAAGCACCAACAACGCCAGTCAATCATGTCGGTTTCTTGCGTTGTCACCTTTGAGTCAGAATATCCTGATCGAACAGAGCCGTGACATGCGGTCCATCGCACTCCAATTACCGCCGTGTCCCACAGACTACATAAACAAGGGTTCATTTGATGGAATACCGCATCGGCTTTGCGAAACACGTGTCCTGTTCCATGCACTGAGTCCGTGTACCCATCCGACTGCTGTGTTGCTACTGCATTGAGCGCTCTTGTGTGAACCTGTGATGGCGACAATGCACCGACAGATCTTGCGCTTGATCACTAACTCATTGTTTATGCGTCTGTGTCTCTGCTTATCTATCTATCCACCTATGTGGATCACCGTCATACCGCGGGCATAATGCAGGATGGCCAGCTGGCCGAATCGCAGGCCGACGGCGTAGTCAAGTGCGTTTGTGAAGTGGACAGTGCAAGCACACATATCAAGGAGCATCTGCAATCGCAAGCGCACTTGGAAACCTGCCAAATAAACTTGTGGATGGTGCTGTTAGGTCCGAAGAGGTTGTTAGTTTGTGGAGACCGCAACGGTACTGACAAGATTATCTTATTGCTTTCGATGATCGTTGTGTTGCTTGAATGAGTGGCGACAATCATTCGCGGGTGGGTTTTACACGGAAAGCACATGGACACTAAATAACACAGCCGTTGCGATGTCTATCGGTTTGCGGAGGAACATTGACAGGTAATTAAACGTATCAAATAAGTGAGCCGTCCCACGAGAGGCATCAACCGTGCCAAGAACAGTGATCGACACACCAAGTGATTGTGCGGTACAACTATTTTATGATGCCTGATCAGTCGATCGATGTGCAGCCCCACCTTTTGCATACATTTGTGCAAGCGAGAGATCACGTGGGGTATTGAGAACGTTCAGACTCGTTCACATACTCCGCTTCCTTGTTGTGCACAACAGAGCGAATGTGCAGACTCGGACTGCATAAGTGACTGATGGTGCGATGTTTCACTCAGTCTGTACTACTTGCAACTAGGCCTCATGCATTCTCCGAATACAGTCGCTAATCGCAGCGTAACATTTAGTGCACAATGATGCGGAGACGACCTTACCATGCAAGGAACTGACGTCAGCTGGCTATCTGCTGCTGCTGAGGTGACATCGAATGACGCGGTCTATGAGAGACGCGAGGCACCACTAGTCTCATTAGCGGCGTCGTTGACTTACCGTCTTGTACGTAGGACACCATCACGGTGCAACCGTCCCTACATCTCTTGGGCTTGTGAGCCATCAGGTGATTGTCCAACGTGGGTTCATTGAGCCACTCAATATTGTTGCTCGACCAACGCTTCACCGATGGGTACCACATCTGAGTTCCTCGTTTGAATTCTGAATGAAGTACAATTCAGCGTTTTTCCCAAGGTCCTGGCTTGAATGCACTTACTTAATGTTTCTGTTCTTAGGTTTCTGTCTGAACTTTGTTTCAATGACAACAAACATCGTCGTAACTAAGACCTCGGTCGTACTGATTTTCCTTATTCCCATCTGTTCCGCCACTCCTATACATCAATCTTCAAGCTTTACAGCAACAGCACATCACCTGTCGCTCGACGTTAGCCACTTGTACCTTTTTCGTTCGTTGTGCGTACACACAGCTAGAGACAGCCCCCACTTTCGAATGGCCACGGTGAATTTATGCTTGAGTAAATCGTTCTTCATGGCATGCTGATGATAGCGACGAATATTTCATGTCCTGCCTGCATATCTTCAACTCATACCACACATATGCAATAGAATTCTGACATTGCTCTAGATTATATGGATTTACTTTCCACTTGAGCAGGAGCATTTGTCTGGAAAATGTCTTGTTCCGATTTAGTCCCAGCTGAAAGTTCATATTTATCAGACCTTGGGCTATTACTGACTGAACCGTTGTTGCTTCCATGAGTGCGCCACTGTGTCTAACACTCAGACAACGATTTGTCGTCTCCCCAATGGTGCCATAACGCACATATTTTCGATACGTATCTTGCAACAGTAGGATTCGGCCAAATGCTCAGTCATTAACCACTTGCGATTGCATCGGATGACTTATTCGGTGTCATGCCTACACCGGGTGTTTGCATCGTAATCATACTGGTCGGTGTTTTGTTGAATTCGATTGTGCTGCTGTGCCCCCGAAATGGTACTCCTCTCATGCCTCGGTTCCACGTCTATTCAGTGTTCCTTCCTTACACACCACCACTCTGCGTTCAGCTCCAGGAGAAAGATGAGCAAGGCAACACTAATGCGTACCTCATTCAAACGTCAGACGCCAAGTTGATGAATTGCTGGAAAGCCGCCATCGATTATGCCAAACAATTATTGGTAGGTTTTAAAGTACTACAAGCGTTTTCCTTTTGGGCGATCTTTCTCTCTCACGATATACAACCACCTCCCTTTATTTTCTGTCTCCTTCAGGACAACGAAGATCGCCTAACTTACTCTCTTGCAAAGGGTACCCTAAAAAGTATGCCTACTATAGTGTATGCATTTGCCTCTGAGAACATGCCTCTTTCGATTCTCTTTCACGGTCTGAATTCCTTCCGTTGTCGTAACTCCCAGGAACAGTGAATCTTTTTGTTATTAGGATTAGGTTTTTATCGATTCTTGCCACGCCTGAACGGACCACTTCTATCCTCTGTAGCGATCTTCATTTTCCTTGTGTTTTCGATATGAATGCTTTCTTGTTCCCGAGACAGCTCACTTGCGCAGACGATGTACATGATGTATCTTTTTGATCCCCTATGACCTCTGGGAATTGCTGATGTTCGGTGGTAACACAACCTTTGTTCTGACGACGCTCCTGTATCATACGGACTCCACCGATCGCCAAATTACACTCTGCAACTATTAACTGATCACCTGAACCACTTTGCACAAAGGTAGCTTCCTGCCGGCTTTTCATGAACGCATTTTAATCTAACGGACGAACTTTGAGGTGAACATCTTCCACCTACGCACTATACCTTACGAGGCCGACCAGGAAGCACACATTACAGCTACACCGTCCGCTCGCTCTTACACTTTTCGGTTTCACTAGACGAATCCTTTTCGAAAGAGCTGCCTGGTATTGCGCATATCCAGCGACAGAATAAATACGATTGGGGAAAAAAGTCAAGTAGAATTCCGGTTGCATTACATCCAGTCATTTTAGGAAAGTTTGCTGTTTACGTAACATTTAACTGATACTTTTATCACATGTATTACAGTGAGCACTATCCCTGATTTTGGCAGTTAGGCAAAGTTGCATCCAACAAACTAAGGACGATCTTTCTCGACTAGCGGTATATATATGTAAGTAGCATGTCTTCGCTCCAACGCAACTTGTTCTTCGTTATTTCATGATCTAATGAACGATCATGCTCATCACTACCTGATTGCTGTCCGCGTACTTTATTGCTGCGAACAGAAGCTAGCAGTGATTCCCAGGCATTGTTAGTCAAAAGCACAAAGACATAACGGACCCGTAAAACCTAGCCAAGCTTCACCCCATGCATAAGATCGGCTGTCACTGCGAAGCATTTTCACATTGTGCTTCCCTACTACAGCACTCACCCGCCCATCATCACTAATGCAGCCACTAGGACGGAGGAATTGATCAGCTCCTCTAGCCCCTTGCCACCGAAGGTCACGAGCTGCCAATTACCGAATGGTTTTGCAACAGTATCTTACACTTTGAAGGTGCGAAGTGCATGCTGACGGAAGAAACTACCCTTAGAAATTTCTCCGAGCTTCACAGTGCTTCGTGATTTTTAACGAGTTAAACGTCCTCAACCAGCTTTGCCTTGGAGAACACATTGAAACCGGCATCAAGGAAATTCCGCATTGTAGTCCACAATAAGGTACAGTAAAATGGGTACTCGCGATAATCACGGCGTAAACCTTGTCGTCCGAAGGAAATCACACAATTCACGGTAGATCTGACGCGATACATAGTTTCTACACACGGCACGTATAGTGTATGCCAAAATGGGCGGGGCGATCAACTGAGTCGAGCGCGATCTTAAATTCGATGAACAGATCTGCAGTCAGATTACGCTAAACAAGTGCGAGACACAGATCAACTATGTGGTCTGAGCATTCTGTACAATATGATCGGATAGTAGGGAAAGTTTTTCGAAGTAGTTCCCAAAGTGCTTTTGAGGTTTTCTATCAATTACAAGTATTACCAAGCGGAGAAGTAGAGAATAGGAATAAATGCGACGCGGCTCTAGCGTCTGTTGCGGAGTGATTATATGATATGTGCAGATGTGTCCCGGGTAGAAATATGTCTGCTCTTCTGTCGTACAAGAATCTCGTTCGGCTGTAAGCCGATGAACGAAATTTCATGCTATTAACTTTTTCACTACCGGCATCATGTTTATACTCATGTGGTTTGTACAGACGGCGCGAATACCGTTATGCTCGATGCAGCTCAGTTGGCTAGGCACATATTGTCCTGCTCGAGCGGCTGATACACTTTTTGTTGTGACCCCAATGTGGCTCCTCAACAGCGCCAACGTGAGAGAATCTGGATTAACACTGTGGAAAGGCTTGGCCGTTGATATCACATATCGAACCATAGCTTCGAATGGAGTTTCGAAAATAATCGCTTATGGTTCAGTGTGGATCACCTTGGCAAGAAGCGATCCAGGTACAGAGGGCCAACGTTACTAATATCGAAGATATTAAGTCCACGGAGTCGGACGGCGCTCCAAATTGCGGCTTAATTCGTCAGTGCAGCTCCTGACACTCTCAGTATATACAGGCTGAAAGTGTCCGGCGATTGCCCGCCGCGCTTAGATTTCTCATTCTTTGTATCCGCTAAGCTTTCTTACCAGGTCGCAGGTACCAGCTAAACAGTTGTCGCCTGAGAATGCTTTCACACGATTGTATAAATCTCTACTTGACTTGGTCACATTGTAATATCTGGGGTCTTTATTCCCTACATCAGCAGATTCACCGACCGTTCAAATATAAAGGTTTGATGCGACAGCAGCATAACGGTCGAAATACTTTCACCTGGAGTTAGTGTTCTCGGAACGATTTAGCGAAAGCCGATGAAACAGAGTCCTAATAAACTTGCCTAATAATGGGCTAGTACAGCTTCTCAGTTGAGCATCGAGGTCGTCTGACGCGCTTCCCGGTAAGCTTAATGCTACATAGGCAACATGCTGGGGTATTGTAAGATTGGATGCACATATTCCAGAACGAGTGACAGTCAAGAACTGTTTCACGCCGCATGAAATCTACGGCGACGTAACCTATTTGGATCTGTCACGGACTTTCTGTCGGAGAATACCAAGTAGCACATCGGTATTGATTGTACTTGGAAGCAGGGCTGTCAAAAATCAGTAGGTGATCTACTCGCAATTGCAGCGAACGTTCGTCATTGTCCTTGTGTTAGAGACTAACATTGGACATCACACTTAGCAGAGCTTCTGAGCGGCTTAAACTGCGTAATAGCGCCTAGCTTCTGATGAGTTGTACGACCTTCTTCTGCGTACATGTCTCCAACTAAAACGATGCCTGAAACTGTAGTCCTGCAACTAGGCGTGTTAGGTTCGCATTAGAAGTCATTTTTGACGGCAGCGGTTGTCCAGTCGGTAGGGCATAGGCGGAGACTATAGACCGATAGTGTTTTAACTTGCCACTTGCGCCTGCCTTAGTTGATTCAGTCATCCACGCTGCACACGGACGGCTGTGCACAAAATCCATCCCGTCGGGGAGGATTCAAATCTACAACTGAGGCATGTCCACTCTCTTTTGATCGGTATTCCCAGAATTTTCCTATTATGTGCGAATAGACAGGTTAAGCGCAACTGGTTTGGCAACCATGTGCCGGTTTCCGACAAGCAGCATATGTCAACGTCTGGGGTGTCCAATATGTGTGCGTGTAAGCGCTATCTGTTCAACGCCATTCCGAAACCTGAGCAACGTGGCGCGATATTTGTCTAGTGTGTATGGTGGGGTTATAGCTACAAATTTTTGAAGCTACAGTGGTATTGCGGCTGCCGTCAGTTACGCTAGGGATTGTAGAAGGAGGGTTAGTAATTGTGGGTCAGAGGAAGTGTGTGGGAAACAAATGGAGTATATGAACTTCATGTTTTCACCATTCTGTGCTCATGTGGGAAGCAGCCAACTCTCTTGTAACTGCTCTACGTGGGTCGAGATGCGGCTAGCGCTTCCAAGCACAAATCAAGTCTCTTGGCCGGAAAATCTAGTCACAAGGCATCGGGAATATGGCTGAGATCCGGTTTTACAAACTCATTGCTAAACTGACTCCAGCTTAGTGGCTAAGGGGCTGAGTACGTCCGATTTTTGACCGCTTCACAGTGTGGCAGGTATCACTCTCAGTATGCCTAAGGGCACCAATCTCAGCGAGCCTGTGAGGTACACAAACCGCCACACCACTTTAGGTTATAGTCTTCTTGGTCAGTGCATCCCTTGAAGGTTCGTCTGAGCCACGTATTTGTGGCGTTTCAAAAGTTGAAGTTCACAGGTAACCGTCTCATCTAATGGCATGTATGCCCGCACCAGCAACACTGCCGGTAACGGATTAAGAACAATACCGCTGGTGACCACTGGTACTACTGTTCGGAGTTACTCCTCCGACATGTAACATTTTACTGGTGTCTGTGAATTGGTCTGCTGCTAGATTCACAAAAACTCCGCTTATGGCTAACTTTTTATCACTAGCTACTCGGATGCGGAGGACTAACCCGCTGTAAGTACCCGATGTGACTACCTGTCCTATCATACCACGTGAATCAAAGCAGTCGTCCGAGTTCGGTTTTTCTGTGGATTGGATAGCAATTAACACCAGGTTAAACTGTCTAGTGCACTTTCCGAAGGTTGTACCGGTAACTGTTAGTTAACAGCATGCTTAGTAAAACAACAAACAGTGGTAGTAGAGTTATGCAGCATTCTTCGAATCTGTGCCCAGTGCACCTTAACCTCTGGGAACAAGTGTCTTCCCATTTTAGAGTCTAGCACATCTTGAAAGATATTGACGATTTTGGAAGGTAGGTTTAGCCAGCTCTATACCGATTCCGGTGACATCATTGTCTCTGCCGCCAACACGGATAGCCGCTTTAGCGCATGACCGTCTATACACGGCCGCTTCAACCGTCACTGATGCCAATGTGGTCACTGTGTAGTAACCGACTTAACTAGAGCAAATTTTCTCCGGGTTTTTCTCGCGCTGTTTTCCCAAGCTCGATTTTGGTATACAGTGCATAAAGCATTTCACTCACATGATTCCGCCTCGTTAATCGAGCTATTCTTCCAAATAAAGTCAAAATAGGCTTTATGAACCCTAATGGGTTAATTTTCAGCATTTACACCACCCGCCCATGTGTTACCATCTCCAAACTTGAATGTCGCCCACCGCTCATGAACATGAACCATTAAGTAACATGCTGTCTGTACTGAGACGCGGGTTGCTTCGATTGCCTGCTTGGTTGTTATACTAGTACCTATGACCTCAGGTCTTCGAACCTACTGTTACGTGTTTTACTGATGATCACCTCGTAAGTGGGCCTACGTTTAAAGTCTAAGCGGATTACTGTCCAATACCACTTAAATTCACACAACACTCGTATCTGAAAGATGTCATTCCCATTTCGAGAGACGGTTTTCGTATTTTGAGATTTTAGTCGCGCATTATAACCACTTTCTGGACTGTGAGTCCATACATCATCCGCTGCTGGCGTCTGCAAGAGGTTTTCTACTCACGTCTCAATGTAGATCAGCATCATTCGCCACATGAAACTGAATCGCTACCACTGTCGCTACTATTGACACAGCTACTCGCATGTTGAGAAATATGCTTATTATTGAGTTCGCGCGTCGCAATCTATTCATACAACTGGTGCTTCAAAATAACCTCCAGTGCCGTTGTTTTTATCACTACTATCCATGCTAAGGCTGATTTTCCTCATCTTGTGACTGATTGTCAGGCACTTTCTCCACTCCCCCTACGACAAATGCTTGTCCACACTCCCCATGTTTCCTGACCAAATGATCAGTCCTCCACATCGCATAGCCTACTGCCCGCTTTTTTATTCATATACCTCCCCCCCCACTTATGTGTGCTACAAATGAGGGCTCCTGCAGTGCTTTACTGGCCTATTATGTTGATCTGAAAATACTGGCTACAGGAATGCAGTCGTTCTCTGACACTGTTTCTACATCGAAGCACAGTGACTTTTCTGCTTCACACATAAATTACTTTTTAACTACCTGTTTCTGTCATGGCTCTTAAATTTCCACATGCAAACAGGGAACGAGAATTTTTCTATCTTATGTGGTGTCACTGTACTGATCGAAATTTTGTCAACGAGGTTAGATCACACGTATGTGGCTTCATACGTCCCATGTCACAATTGACGCGTCGTGCCAATTGCTGACATGATGCTACGCACTTCAAATCTTTATGTTTCAGGCAACGGGGATCCATTTGAGCGAGTTAAGTTCCGTCTGTTTCCGACGAACTTTAGACACAGGTACAAACAAACGACATGAGTATACCATTCCACTAGCTGGTACTCTACTTCGTTGGCAATAGCTGGTCTGATACACTAGGAATAGCTTCACGTATCACCTCACCAATCATTATCAGATTGCCTGCGGCGTTTTTTGGGGCCGTTTCCATTTCCCATATCCTAACCGAATAATCCGTCTCAATGCTTCTCAGTTTCCGTCTGTCAGTTATTTCAACATGTTTTAAGATTTTCTCCCGCAAGGTACAATGCAGGTAGATATTTGTGTAAACAAAGACGTTTTGGTTTCGTTAGGACTAAGCTCTGCTACCTACTGCTGATACGCCCTGTATCCTAGAGTACACAGTTCATTTCCCGACTACCTTATTTTTACATCCGTCCACACCATTTTACTTACTTATTGTTTACTGTTACTCACTTTGACTACGCTCCATCCGTTTCACTTGAAGATTTACCCGAGACTCCTTCCAAATTGGACAGTCGCTTGACATCGAGGCTGCGGGATTTCTTCCGTAGCAGGCCGTCTGCGGAATCGCTGAGATCAAGGGGAATTCTGAAGAGTAAGTCGTTGCTCACCTGGAATTGACCTCCATAAAGTGCATTTTTACATGTGGCCCCACCTGATTGCTATCAATCCTATTTCCTAGTTGATCTACCTCAGCCTCTTTACTGACATTGTGCTATTGACACTGGTCAGTTATTGGTCTAACTAACCTTATTTCCCCCTCTGTGGCTGAAATTCTTTAGGCCACAAAATGTCCATCTTTCAAACGAACGTATTTGCCCTGATGGATTTCGTTGCGTCACCAATTGAACCCCTTGGATTTGGCAACCACTATATGGTTGTCCGTGGTCATCCCTCAAAATGCTACTATCCACACGACTTATCACCGTCGCCACAGTCCTGTATTATAGTAGGGACTGGTCGAAGGCGGTGCTTGGTTGGTGAGTATTGCACTTGATGGTGAGAATTCACAGAACGGATGCCTTCATACTCACACCCTCTGTTATAGCATCGGAGACACGGCGATCTCATAGAGCAGTTGCATATTCTCGGGATATTCAAACATACCGTACGCGACAGTACTTGTATACTCCCGAATACCACCGGTCATAATCCCCCCGGATCTGTTGCATATAACTATGGCCGCAGCAATCATTGTGTTTCTAAGCACGTTCGCTCGTTCAGCGTGATACAACAATCACCGCACATGACTTCTTTAATAGTGCTATGCAGCGACAACGATTTAGGCCGTCAAACGAGGCGTACAATCCATCGAATACAACCGAAACACTCATCTGAGTACGATACGTCTTCCCCAATGCTCTCTTCCGTAACTTGCTTATGGAGAACGAAACGACTCGCTTCTTCATTCGAGACGGTAAGGTAAGCGACTAAGAATGTGTTACACCGACGCATACACACCGGTGCATTTGGGCCTGCATTCATGTAGAATAGGCTAAACGCTCACTCCGGAAAGTGTGGATGCTCTTGATCAGTAGTGCAGAGCATTCAGCCGAGATCTGTTCTTGGATTCTGGTGAGTAAAAGTGCTCGATCGTACGTTTTCAGTCGAATAGACACAGTTCGGAACCTTCAACGAACTGAAACTAGAGGTCTGCTCGTCACACAGTGATCTCTTTGGGTTTCTCAACTAATCTGTGGGACTTTTGGCTCCAAGATTTGTTCAGTGGTTTCAGATCTAGCGGCTATTTCTGTAATTCTCTGAACTCATATAATGATGAATTCCTTGTTCATAACGAAAACCTGCACGTTGGTTCTTGGCTCTGGTGACTGCTGTTTCGTTCACCATCAAGTCTAACTCATAGTATCACAGACAGAGTGATTAAAACCTTCCAGATCATAGGCACGGGTCAAATGCATATGCTGATCACTATATTGTCACTGTGCCCTACTTGCGGTACTGCTTTTACTGCGTAACTCAGGTCAGTACTCTTCTCGTTAACCGACGACTTCCATGTCTATGCATTAGCCCGGTTTCGTAGTAACGTAGACGGCCCAACAGAACACTGAGACACTACACCTTGAGATTTTCCTGGACCACTGCATCCCTCCTCCGTTTAGAAGTGCTGTTCTACTTGTGTTTATCTCCTGCGTATAATTTCATACAGACAACCCATATGGATGTTCCCTTTGTGGTGCACTGCTTGCCTTGTGGACCCATTCAAGTGGCCGCTGTAGCGAGCGCATATCAGGGAGTTATGGAGTTTCTCTCCTGGTTTATTTGTTGCCATATGTTCACGCGGTTAAGAACCTGTGAGCGGCTGCTCTCCACGCATTTCTCTATGATGATTGTCGCATATTACTGAATACAAGCCCGTCCATGTATAGGCTGACAGTATAACTTTGCGATACCAAATTTGTACAAAATATTAAGTCCGTATATTACCCGACCCCTGAAATGTCTACCGGTAAGTGCTTTTCCGTCATGCTTTTTCATGTTACCCGTGTGGTGGATTTGATTTTTTATATATTTCCTTATTTGTCTGTTAATGTCATCTGTCACGAACGTCAAATGTGCAGTATACTGAGAAATTTCACCACAATAATAAAGCTCATAGCTATAATCACGCTGCCCGCAGTGCTGCGTAGACATGGTATGAGAAAATAGGACGCCCCAAATCCCCACCGCTGGCAGGTGATAGTAATGGGGAATGGAGTATTGGTGTACATTGAATTACTGGGTAGATTTCCCGTGTGACTTTTTTCCCATTACGCATAATCCTTCTATGAGCCGACCTCCCGCAATAGGAATGAAAAATTGTCCAAAATGTTGCGCCTCATATTCAGTAATATACGGTATTTTATCAAACGTTCATTGGTGACTAATTGCAGTCTAGTTGTTTCGCCGCGCGTTATGGTCTAATGGCCATGTGTTTCATTGTAGCTGTCCACTTGCTCTAAATCTCCAGATCAGATGTCGATTGATCATACCACCACCAATTTCTAGTTCTGGAAGCTGCTCGCCTTGTGTTTGCCAGATTTTTGAGTTCGCTTTCTAGATTCCCCACCCTAATATTAAAAGACACCATCCTGTTTCTTTATCTATTTTAGAGCGGTTTTTAAATGATTTATCACAGTTCTCGAGTACTTTAGCACGGGGCATTCCTCTAGCGTTTTTCAGCTATTCTTAGCGTAACTTTTTCATAGCTTCGGTAGGACACCGGGACGAGATTTTCCGACATTAACAATAGACCACCATACCTTTCTAGTGGATTAATGCTGATCCCTCTGATTTATGAATTCGCTTTCCGTGGTGTGGTTGTTTATGTGCAGATGTGCTTCCTTCAGCCACTGTGAAAGGCATGTTCCAAAAGTCACGAGTCATCCAATCCAGATAGTACTGTGGACAACATCGGCCAGATTATATCCTCGACATTCCCCACAGATGAGTAATCGATGCTCCTGTTGGAAGCATCCATTGAACTTATCTTGACTACTTCAGCTTACCAGTATCACGGAGTTTCTTGGCAGTGACATCCGCTCTCACGTAATAGCTGGAATGTTTCACATGCACAACCGTCACCGTTATGATCTTATTTGATTTATTTACCCTCTTTTATCCAGCCAATTACTTTTTTATTTAATGATTTATTTAATTCGCTTTTTCCCATTGCAGATGAGCCTGTTTTCGCCTCCACGCTGGTGCAAATTTGTGAAAATGAAAACTCCGAAGTTCCTCGGTTCATCGTCTGCGTAGTCCGAGCGATCGAAGCCAGGGGTTGGTATTTCCACTGTTGTAGCATTCACCTGCTGTCATCACATTCGCCCAGCCTCCACAATCCGCGAGTCCGAGGAACACTTTGTTGGCGCACTAGTGACACTTTCAGTACATACGTCGGAAGCTACAGGTCACACTGTCTTTCGGTCTTCTTGGTTTGAATTTGGTAGTCCTATAGGATGTTAACTCGTAGACAAGCCAGTCACCAAACCCTGACGCCTTAATACATACAAGCTTGGCGGCATCCGGTTTCGGATTTGCCTGTCACTCTGTCCAGTCACAGGAATCCTGTGCCTACAGAGAGACAAGAGTGGCTTGCGCTGCACCACCCACAACTGCAAGCAATACACCATATCCAGTGTAAACCCGAGGGAATAAGACAGGGGGGGCATGGGGATGGGAGCCACATTTCATCAACAGAGCCGGTCCACACTCCTTCACAGGTAAACACAAGCACGCTGTATTTGGAGAATCAAGCGCACACAAAGCGGCGGCTGGACCGTGATCCGCTCCACACTGACTGTGGAGCCTAGCACGGCCACAAGGACCGTGCACCCCGCCATCTCCAGCAACCACTGTCTCGTAGATCCATTGTAGATGAAGTGGTGGGTAAGAGACAGGTAGGCATCTTGTCAACATTCACATCAAGCGCAACCACACCGGGGATGTCAAGCAACCAATAAAATAGGTTGAAAAAACCATGCGGATATACCGCTAAATTAGCTCATGATATAAATGGATTATCAACGTAGCCGCGATAAATTGAACATGGCAAATAAGGAGACGAAAGAACATTATTAGCATGGAGAAAACAAACGAAGTTATGCACCTTTCATTTAGGCGACATTTGCAATTTAATAGACTGTTTAGGCAGACATCAAAATGAGGTAAGAAAATATACCTTAAGACAAGATAGCAAACCTACCACCTGAAATAAAGAAATTCAGCACGCAAGCACGCAGTTAGTAAATTGAATGCATCCTACCTACCAGCGTTGCGCTGGTTCTGCTTACGTTCTCAGCAGGACCCGTCGTCGTTTCGATGTTGGTCCCGAGTGGCCTCGCTCGTGGCTAACTAGGCCTGCCTGACTCAAGCACTCGCGACCACATGTGCTACAACACCATGCGCTCGATGTCGATGGAGTACAACCCATCGGCGCGTGCCGCTTCTGCAACTGCCGGCTCTTTTCGACACGCACGAGGGCTTTCTCTTGCACTTCGGCAACTGCCTTCATGGTTAGATCGCGCCATGCACGCCGATCAACCGCCTTCGATCCCCAAAACCTGTACCCAACACTGATCATGTCCTGGAAACGTAACTTCGGTTTTCCCACGTACCGCTACCATATATATATATATATATATATATATATATATATATATATATATATATATATATATATATATATATATATATATATATCACCCTAGCTAGCTACGCTTCGTCCAGTGTTGCATTTTTAGCATATACACTAGACTATGGTACACTCTAACAATGCACTTCGTCCTGTCATTTCGCGGATTTTTTCAATTATTAGATACGGTGCTTGTCGACAGTTAGATGGATACACCTAGTCGGCTGCGCAGGCTGCAATCATGGATTTCTGTGTTGTGTTCACTTTTCTTTTTACGAATACCGTACCTTTTTCCCCCCGATTTTCATGGCCTCATATCTACCCGTATGCTGTTTACGTAGCATAGATCATACCTTGTCACCCCCAGTTGAGCTACACCGACTTACCCCTAAACTAGATCTTCTTAAATCTAGATACAAAGTATTCCACTTTATTTGATTTTTGAAAAACCGGATAACAAGATCAGAAGTCAATGTTAGCGAACATATATTTTCGATAATTCCTCATCAGGCTTCTACAGTTATATACAAAGAGAAACAAAATGGGTGGACAGACATTACCAGTCGTTAGTCCAGGAGCGAGTTAAACACTCACAGTAGATTTGACAGTGGCTGTCCGTTAGTTTACGACCGTTGACCTCGCTGGTCGGAGGGCGTTTGGGCAACGGTAGTCCCAACCCTCTAGTTAGCTTCTTCTGGATACAAAGCTCCGAGTCATACAGTCGAATCGCATTTGCCTCAGTAGCTTCTAGATTCTTTTACGCACGTAGTTCGATCGGTTCGCCTGGGCCTGATAGATAATTTTGGAAGTCAGCTGATTTAGTGGCATGCCCTGTGTCAGCGAGGTGCGCGGCTATTGAGGAGCTGACTGGTTTTCTGCTTCCAGTTCCAAGCCAGGCCGGGTGCTGTTCCTTCACTCGCTCGGATAGGCGCCTTGTCGTACGACAAATGTATACTGCTCCACAGGAAAAGGGATAAATACACATTGAATTGGTGTGGACAGGCCTCTTATCCTTTGAGTTCAGTTCCACCATCGAAGTGCTAGTGAACTGGATTTGCATCCTTGCTGCGAGGTAGCTACGTCTGAGTGCACGCGAAAGACGACGAAATAGAAGTTCTGTCGTAACTTCACTCTTGTATAGCAGCTGTAGGAAGATCGGCTTACGTTCTACTGTCACTACTACGGGCTGTGTGCTCTTCTGTTGTATATTGGCTCTAATGAAACTTTCGGGGTAGCCATTCTCCCTCAGCAGCAAGCGAATGCACTCCGATTTCTCAGGAAACATGTCTTCCGAGCAAATTTGTTCAGCTCGGCTCACTAGGGTATGGATCAGATTCCTTTTATACCTTAAAGGCACAAAGCTGTAGAAATTTGTGTACTGTCCAGTCCACGTGCATTTCCTATACACACGATATTGCAGCGCACCTCCATCAAGTCATCTCAGAGCGACGTCTATGAAATGAAATCGGCTGTTTTGCTCCACTTTGTAGGCAAACTTTATTGCTGGGTGGCACTGGTTGAAGGTGTTTGTTAGCTCATCAATACTTCGCGAGGCTTGAAGTGAAACAAAGATGTCATCCACATACCGGCAATATAGACTGAGGTCTGCGATTGTTGATTTTAACTGGCCCTGTTCCAGCATGCCCATGAAAACATCGGCAAGGAAGGATCCAGGTGGGGAACCCACCGCACTGCCGTTGTATTTCGCCATTGAAGCGACACTGAACATTAGATGTGCATCCGAGTAATAATTCTGTTAGGATCACAGTGGGCATGCACACATTTATGTGATGTGCATCAACATACTCACCTACTGGCTCCAAGAGACAGTTGGTCGTTGCTTGGGAGACGGGATTTATGGTCCTCGTGATCGCGCTAGGCCCAACAAATGGTACTATCCACCGCCTTGTAGAAGTCTGGTACGCATGATTCGCAATTTAGACAAACAAGAATACGGCTGTTGTGCATGTTGAAGGAGTGTGAGCCGACTCATTTGATGAAACCTGGCTTCCCTCCACATGCCTCCCGGTCTTATTACTACGGGTTTACATTGGATGTGTAGATGGAGCTGTGGGTGGTGCAGCGCAAACCACCCATGTTCACTTAGTAGGCGCAGGCGTCTGGCCGTTCTATCGAGACCGCAGTGACAGGGAAACCCGGAACTGGATCCCGCTAGCCATGTATTTATCTAGCTGCATGCGACTGTACCCGCCTAATGAAGATCGCAACCCCCATACACTCTGTAGCTATTCTCATCTACGCGGTCTGAGATAATGTGTCCCTGTAACATGCTTTCAGCGGCTTCGGCTGCTACTGTTCTTCGTCTTTGTTGGCTTCACGTTCTCGCACTTTCACGGATTCTTCTCGTAATTTTGACTTTTTCAATGGATCGCTGGTTAAGAATGAAAGAAGTGGATTTGCATGTATTACATTATATATCGGTTTGAGGATTTCAGGGGTTGTATCGAATTCTGACCTTGAAACCATGGACCCACCGCACCTTGCTGCACTGGTTCCAGTTGATCAACCAACTTGCACCGAACAGCAGAACAGTGTGACGCTGTTTGCCTTCGGTTGTTGACCGTTGTTCAACCGACCGTGTTCCAGTCGTGGCCACAGTTGACCTCTACTCTTAATGTGGCGCGCTACCTACCAGTTTTATTGACATGGATTATGATCTTGTAAGTTCCTCAGAAGTTTTGTCCGATGGCTTACTGGGCCTTAATCGCTGACGCTCACACGTTGACGAGTTTTGTTGCGAATGCACTGAGAATCGATCCTTTGTACGCAGCACTGGTCTCATACTCGCTGGATATGAATGTGCCACTTGTCGTCCCGTATACGGCCTGCAGTGGGCCCAAACGAATCACGTCGCAGTAAGCCTCTCGTGGCGTGACCTCCACTATTAGTTGTCGCCTCTTTCGTTAACACTTCTATCTTGACTATGTTCTGGTCCGTTGTTGTACCAGGTGGGGTTGCACATGTCGCATTTTCACCCCGAAACTAACGTTTGCGCAGCACTATTTGCATCGCACGTAGATCGATTGGTGTGGTTTCTCATGAGCTTTTCCAACTCCATCGATCATGCTGTTTTACTTTATACAGTATAACTTGCTATGGTGACCAGCCAAAAACATCGCCAACTTTTTCTCATATGAGTAATGTCTTTGTGCATGAACCTGTCTATGGCGACCACCTGTCCAAGACAACCTCTTTTTGTTGGTCCCTTGATTGGTCGTCTTAGACGGGTTCGACTGTATAACCACCCAGAAAGGTGTGCGGAATCTCGTCTTCTGAAATGGATTCTAGTAGACAGCCATTGGTGTAAGCGAGCAGCTAGCTAATGCCAGGTACCTTTTGTTGTTGCAGGTCACCGTGACCTTATTAAAATTAAATACTATCAGCAACATTTTTATGATCCGATATCCTGATCACTGCGGATAAAATGCATGCTCAAGTCTGTTGTCTAGCAGTGTCAATAAACCTTTTTGGAAGCCGTTTCGAGGTCCAAGCATGTCTGCCTGTAGCCTTTAGGATCACAAGCCTAGCTTTTAAGCTGAGGGCGCCAGTTCGACCCTCGCAGTATCCTTAGCCCATGCGCGACTGTTGGTGATTGCGCGGCAGCGAAACGTCGGTACTGCGTACTGGCGTACTGCTGATGCCTTTCTACTGCTAATGGCGACCGCTTTCTCCAGCTATGCGCGATCACAACCTCTCTAAAAGTAGCGCATCTTTCCAGCGTAAGCGCTCGCTTCGAGTTACATAGCAGTCACCGGACGATAGGCTGCCCTCGACTCTAGTCACAACTTCATCAGTTATAGATGTCACACGTTAGCACGAGATTGTTGATTATATGTGGAGCACTTGTCTCGACTCTGATTGTGCTCATGTGCGTGCCCGAATACCGCTCGTTTTTCATGCACATTCAAGAAGCTCGAATTCGAATGTTTTCACTCGTCAGTTGTATTTGCTTTCCGCGAAACGGCAATACTAGTATGAATTGCATTATCAGCCGTCAAGGATAAAGGAGGTAGATAAGCCAAGTGCCGACTCGAGTCTCCTCTAATGCACGATGCAGAAAACACTCGAGGCCGGTTGTCTTCCTAGGTCGAGGAATCTGGATCTCTAAGGCCGTCATTGATCCTTTTTTGCACGATGGAGGTTTCTGTCTGGATTCAGCTTTAGGGTTCCGTTCCGCTCTGGAACATTCGACTAGAAGTCATAGAATTGACAGGGACATCGATGAATGGCGAAGGCCTGTTAGATGAAGAGGGCTGCCACCATTTGGAACATCAGTGTTGTTTCAACTTATTCAATACACGGATCCAAGAAAGGTTCATTAGAATGAGACAGTAGTCGAGAATAATCGACAGCTGATTCACTCGCAGTCACGTTGACTAGAAATCTTGGCTGAACACTGAAGAGAAACTCAACTAACCCAAAAAAGCCCTGTCTCCCGCTTACTAATTCACAATTTCGCACGCGTCAGTCGAAGCGCCCTAATTTTTTGTTGGAATAAGTATATCGCTGCGCAACACTCGTCCCTTCAGGGACTCGTTTAAGAGTGACACGCGTGCCAACCCAGCGCGGAACTATAGGCCGTCTACGGCACCTACTGACTCATTGAAGCAGTGACCAGGACACATCGCAGTTTTGGCTAACGTCAAGAACCGCCTCACCATGTAGCCTTCTTGACGGCCATCCAAGCAGCCCGTTGTGTATTCTTCGATGTGGTTCGAGAGACATGACAGGTATCATCTCGTGAATTGGTCGCGCATATTAACACTATGCGCACCACCCACTTACGGACATTTTCGATCGTGTTGGCACTCATTTAGCTCAGACGCGTTCGGTTCTGGATGCTATTCGCGGCTGCGATCCGAAAATGCTGTGTACAAGTGACTTAAAGCGATCATGGAATGACTCCGATTTTCCACTTATATCGGCAATCGTTCCATGCTCTCCGTGTTTACTTTGAATCTCTTACCAAACTCCCCATGAACACCCTCCGAACGCCTGAATTCCGTTCACAATCTGTGGGACGCTAGGTCTGGGACTCGCACCCATCATAACCGAATCCGAGACCCCAAACCCTTATCATACGTGTCTAGTGATTTGTCTAACTGGTGTTGATCCACAGACGCTTTGCTTATATAGCAGACCATGCTGCCAACCCATATTTGCTTGGCCTAGCCCCGTCAGACTTTTCATTGCTCCCATGACAATAAATTATATTTTTACATCTTCCCTCTTAGGACTTCACCATCTTGGTATCTACCGAGTCAGTGCGAATGCCGCGGATGTACAAAAGCTTCGGTGCTGTGTTAACCAGTGTAAGTTATCTCGTTTTTTTCCTGGGAACCAAGTAACTACGTAATATTCCTTGACAACGCCACTGGATGACCGCTTTTGCATAGCCTCACAGACAGCGTTTTTGGGTAGGTGGGCATAAAGAATTCCAATGGAGGAGCCTGAGTCGACGCAACCGATCGCGCACAACGACCGCAAATGGATGGTTTTATGCGAGGGTAATATAGTAACTATGTCCATACTTCCACTCATTTTTAACCAATTTACAGTGACAATGAAAATCAACGAACCTACAACATTTTTTACCACAAAGTATCTGTTCCAGCCAGAATCCAGGTAGTGTGCTCGAGTTCATCATCATCATCATCATTATACACGTCAGCTAGAGGTGGAAAACACCTCAGCTACTGTGCCGCAATACATAAAGGAAAAGGAAAATAAATACAATAGTTGCATGCCGGCTGAGCTACCAACAACGGATAGGCATCGTTCCGGTAAGCTACCAGCCAACTACTGGGCAAAAATAAAAATTATTATGTTTTATGCTACGAAGTGAGATCGTAGGTGGAGGGAGAGGCTAAAAGGGATGGGGAGGGACAAAGAAACTCACAGCAGGAACGCCACTGAGGTTGGCTCCTTGCCTTGTCAACAAGTGTATTCAGCCAAACGTGTTCATCGTCTTTCGGACCCCAACCAGGGAGATGTGACGCTCCAACCGAGGCCAGCTCGAGTTCAGATGTTGTGCACGCGGTGCCGTAACCGAGTAATCGGGATGTCGCCTCATGGGTAACGATTCCGAACCGTTGCTTGATCATCTTCCTTCTATTTAGTCAACAGCTCCCAACGCACGCCTGAAATCAAACTGGCAGTCGTTGTAGTGTCGTGAACTTGGTTCATTTCCGATTGATACTCTATCGGTCAGCTATTTGCATTTCGCTCTTTCGGACAGCCTTTTGTTACCACGAAAGGCGTCTCTATACATTTGTATCGCTGGTAGGTCATCCCATCTGCACTAAACATTTACTTATCGAATGGGTCGATTCGGCATCTGCTTTTCAGTACTCGCACCGCGCGACGATGTGCTTGTCCCAAACACCGCTACGGTGGTATTTTTATACGTGAGTAATCTGGCAACTGTACCGGATGGCATCCGCTTGAAGATGGGCACATCACAAATAGCAAGCTCAAGCGCTTACGCCATCGCCAAACGTTTCTCACACATTATGTGGCAATACTACTTAATCACATGATTACCAACACTGTCTCAATCACACTATTACGATGGCTACCATACTCATATTATTGTATGCCTCATTTTCTACCAGACATGAGCTAAGCTGCGATGGTCGGACGTAACGAGCCTTTTCATGTCTGTCGATCTGTTGGACCAGGTTTTACATACATAGAGGTGGGTTGAAAGGATGGCTGCATTGTAAATTCTGACCTTCAGAGTGAGGGTAATGTCGCGCCGACGCCACAGGGGGTAGAGATTGGGAAAAGCACCTTTAGCTTCTGCTATACGGTTCGTGATTTTATCTGCCATTCCACTGGACGACTTCTAGCGCAGGGGTGAGTCCCTGCCAATCTTGGAGAACTGTGCATTTCGAGAGTGCAAAGCACAGCCCGAAACGACTGACGGTCAATGCTTCTTGGCAAGTTTTGGAAATGTCACAGATTAGGGCAATATCGTCGGCGTACTCCAAGTCAAGAACCTAATCACCTGAGAGCAGCTCCATACCTTATAGGTTGTTTCCAGTGAACGCACTCTCCATGACTCCCTCGATGGAGAAGTTAAGAAGGAAAGGTGACAGCGGGCAACCTTGTCTCACCGCTGGAGATATTAAAGGGCAGCGACAGTTTGCCATAAGTCCTCACTCTGTTCGAACTATGCGCGTAAAGCACTCTGATTATGTTTACGTATTTTTCGGACACATTTTTTTCTGAGTAGACACTCCAAAGGACACATCGATCAACCTAATCGAAGGCACCTTTGATGTCAAGGAACACCACAACAGTGGGCCGCGAATATATGTGACGGTGCTCCAGCATTTGACTTGAGGTGAAGACGTGACCAATACAGACGCGGCTTCCACAAAACCCGGCTTGGTGGTCGTCACGAATCTGGATTTCACGGGTGTTAGTATGTCTATGAAGAGCGACAGAGTCAAATATCTTAATTAAGATCAGACTGATCCTTCTATGATTGCCGCATTCCGAACTTGAATCCACTTTGAAAATTGGGACCTTAATGGAGCGGCTCCAGTCTGCTGGAACTGTTTGCTGCTCCCAAAACTTCACAAATAAGGCGTGCAGATCATCTCCAAAAGCAAGCCCCACGAAGTTGAAGAGAACTGCTCTTGCGGTCTTATATGCTTTCATCAGTTCGATTTCTGCGCGTGAAGGCGGGTACAGGGACTAAGGCGAATCTGTTAACTCTGATCGATTAAGCTGCTTTTGCATGTTCGGCTCAACGCTCGAAGCGTTTCAACAAACTGTTTATTCGCTGTCTATCCTCGTCGCAGATTGATTGGCATATTGATCGCTTTGCATACTCTGATTCAGCACTCCTCGTATTTTTCAGACAATTATTCGCTAAACTCAGAGAAGTGGACACTAGAGGTACTCACTGGTTCTCTGAAACTCTTCTTCCGTGAACTCAGGGAGCCTCTGTTTACATTCGACGTGTTCCCAAAAATACAACAGTTGTTTGGTAAGTGAATGCATACTATGCATGCAATCTGATGACAGTGATGCGGCGCCGCCCACTATCGTCATTGCTTTTGACTCGCTTGCCCAGATCTCATTTTATCATGAACCCTTGTGCACACATTGGAGTAGAATATGAACATTGCTTCTGTTTTATCACGAATAAATTCTATCCTTCAGCATTCTTTCTCACGGTAACTTTCTCTTTCTCTTACTTAGCTTCAAACATGTCAGACTCCGAGATGGTGCCTCGCCTGCAAGAGGTGCTTCGATCTATGCCAACCCCACACATTGTCACTGCAAGAGTATTATTCCACCATTTGTACAGGTGAGCGGTTCGCATCATTTACTTGTGCACATCCGCATGCTATCTGAGCCCATGAGAACGTTGCTATTTGCTTATTGATTACTGGAAATATAGAGCCAGAAGAGGTACATCTGTGTTGCTCCATTGATATACTATCGGACACGCACACGGAATAACGTTATTTATTACCGCGCATTGTCAATGAAGTTCGGCTATGCGACGTTCAGTTCAAATGCGATGATCTTTCGAAATCTGTAATTCGCAAATCGGGTGTTTAGTCACCGGTTTCACTTTGACCACACTCTGACAAACTGTCCCATTATTCGTCTACTTGACGCTCGAAGCATAGTGAGCGAACTATCCTCTTTATTTCCAGTACCACAAGGTCGTACCGATGCCCGCGAATTCTGCTTGTTACGCACGTGTGTAGAAGCTTCTTCAACATAGGGAAGTCACTTACTCGAAACCGACGATACGACAGGGTATACAGTCCCAATCTCTTGCATCGGTCTAAAAATATGGAACGTTTCACGACTTCGTGTCAGTCTTGCACAGCGGACATGCTGGTCTTCCCTGGCTCCCGTGGGACTAGAATCTTTAACTCGATTGCTGTCAGTCCGTAGAGAAAACAACTGGGCTATGGGGGACAAAAAATAGAGGCTAGTCAAATAATCCACTCGACTGCAGGTCGAAATTCGTTCTCACCGTGCACTGTTCTACACGACAGAGAACCGCATAGGGGTTCTTTGGTGTAGGTTGGAGCCACTTCATCATAGTTAACTGCTGGCGCAGTTAGCTATCTGTTATGATGATCTGCTTCCGTTACCCACGGCGCGGTGACATAAGCTGTTGGCATCAAGAGCAGAGCCACTAGGACGAAACGGTCGTTTAGCGCTCTCTGACTTAAAGTTACTCGCGTTTGCATTTGCATTTACTTCGAAAGTCTGGCGAAAAGACGACCATTATCTGCATTTAATTTGGGGTATGGACCTGCTGTGTAACCTTTCTTGTTTGACATGGAAACTCAATGTGAGAATCGGAGCCACTTTTGTTTGAAATATCGGAGATTTATTCGTTTCTTTTTACGTCGAAGTCTATAAATCAATACAGCAACTTCGAGTCGACAGGGCTCCTCAGTGGTGATAACGCTGACAGACAACCAAGCGCATTACGAAACTTTTTCAAACTTCTGTTGTTTAGACATGGATATCCACTTGCGGTCACTGTGTCTACCTTCCGTCAGCACACTGTTCATAGTCCTATGTATTTTTCGATACAGAGTGACACAACACTGCAGTTCCAATCAGATGCATCCGCACAAGTTGGCCCTCATCTTCGGACCTGGCCTACTACGCCCAGAGGATGATTCAGCTCGCATGGACACAGTGACCACGCTACAGGCCCCATTCATTAATTTCAGTCTTCAGCATGTCACCGAACTGTTCGGCCCTGTTGTACCCCCTCCAGTGGTCGTTTAACTTCTTCCCAGGTTGCCTTTGTAAGATGCACTCATTTCTGACTCAATCGTTTCCTTCCCCATGGCCCAGATCTTCCTTTCACATTCATCTTCCATCTGTGATCAGCACAGCGCAATAATGAATGTTGCGTTTCGACGGTTTCACCCGGCCTTCAGACCTCAGGATTTGTTAGATGCTCACAAACCTATTCCAGATGCCTCTTTTCACTCAGCCTTCCTGTTTTACCGATACTCATTTGAAGGTGAATTACTATTATTACTCCATTTTCTTACCACTACACGAAATACCCTCTGATCATGATTTTATGATTACACATGCTTTCCTTCTTCACTGAATCTGGACGAAGTCGACAAACAGCGAATGGAAAAAAAAACTCTGTCATAGTTTAGCAACTGCGGATCTAACGCTCAGTGGCTAGCTCTTAGCCGAAGTATCACAAGGCAAAACACATCAGGCACACGGAAGGCAAAACTGTATTCTAACCGGCATGCTGTACAGCTCATTGGTCCACTATTCTAAACTAGGCCAATCGATGAGTAGCTGAGCGGGTTACTGACACATGCCAGCGGATGCAGTCAATGAGTATGAAGGGCTCAGTACATTGGCCGTGAGGCTGCCATATTCGTTCTCCCTTTAGTTTGGACCACTCCAGCAAGCTTGGTATCAGTTGACGTGTCGGCGTAGCCGAGTTGAACGGTGACATTGCTGTCTCCGGTTGGTTTGAATTTTGAGAGTTCTGCGCGTTTGTCAACTTAGTGTACTAGTTTGAGGACGCGTCATCTGGCGGAGTTGAAACGGAACGATGACGGACGTGATCCCTGTGCCGTGTAACTACTCTGCCACCAGGTAAAGCCACCTCCGTATGTTACCCCGCAACTTCGCGCAACTCTCCAGGCTGCCAGGCCGTTTCATTTGGCAACTTGACGTAGACCGGTTCATTCTCGCAGAATCTTCGATCGGAAGTCGTACTATGTCTTAGGTTTATCTTGCTTCGCCTCGACACGTAGCCTCTGGTCAGGAAACAGAAGATCCAGCCGTGTCCTCAACTCCCGTCCGAACATCAATTCGCCTGGGCTCTTCCCAGTAGTTTCGTTTGGTGTGGTGCAGTAGCCAAAAAGAAATTTATCTAACTTAGTTCGCAATGGAGTGTTTCTTTAACCAGTTCTTGACCGTCTGGACGGCTCTTCCTACCAACGCGTTTGAAGCTCGGTGGTAGGCGGCTGCTTTCCCATGATGTATGCTGTTGCTTTTGAGGAGCTCTTAAAATTCTTGACTAGTAAATACGAAGCGGTTGTCTATTGCCAGCGTATGTGGTATACCGAAGGAGCTGGAACGTCCGCATGGAAGAAACGGTCGTCCCAGAGGTGGCATGTGCAAGTGGAAAAACTTCTACCCTTTTCGAGTAAGCATCAATCAAGAGGAGAAACATTTTTCTATCCAACGGGTCAAAGAAGTCTGCGTGTATGCGTTCCCAAGGTTTACAGGGCCAGTTTCAAGGAATAAGTGGTACAGGAGGGGCATTCCTGTGAGTGCTTTGCACACTTCGCAGTGTCGGATCAAACCTTCGATATCTCCGTCAGTATTAGGCCACCACACATAAGGTGGTGCACGTGCCTTCATTTCCGTGATTCCAGGGTGCGTTCCGTGAAGTTCTTGTAAGACATTCTGTCGTCACCGTGGTGGTATGGTCGCTCTATATCCCCATAGCATATACCCATCCTCGAGACTAAGCCCTGTGCGTCGGATAAAATAAGGCTTCAGTTGTGGTTCACCGTTGTCAGGCCGTCCTCGAGAGACTAGACACTTGGCTTTGGCCAGTAATATATCCCGTTCGGTTTCCTGACAGATATCGGCATTTGACACTGGGTTTTCGCCCAAGTGTTCCAGCAGATGGACAAGCCGTACAGGTTTAAGTACACACTCTGGTAGATGATTCAACGGTAAACGGCTCAGAGCGTCCGCGATTCTATTTACTTTCCCAGGGGCATAGGTGATCTTGTAATTGTAAACGGAGAGCAATAAACTCAACGTTGCATACGAGGTGACGCCATTTAGTTTCTGCTTTTTTCTCACTAATCAGGGTTAACAAAAGCTTGTGGTCAGTAAAGATTTCAAATTTTCTTCCTCACAGATACTGGTGGAGTTTCTTGACTCCGAAGACAACCGCCAAAGCTCTCCTGTCGAGCTGCGCATAGTTCTTTTTCGCTGGTGTCAAACTTCTGGACGCGATAGCTATTGGTGTGATAGTACGACCCTGAGCCTTGTGGGTGACGCATCGCAGCGAAAAGTGATCGGCTTTTTGGAGTCAAAATGAACTAAAAAGTTAGCGTTACTAATAGCTACTCTGATAGCATCGTAAGCTTTTTGTTGTTCATTGGACCACAGCCATCTGATATTCTTACGAAGTAAAGTATACAATGGTGCGAGAAGACTAGCCACTTTGGGTAAGAAACGACTGTAGTGGGTTACCATCCCAAGAAATGATTGCACTTCGTTAATATTTTGAGGTGTTGGAGAATCTAGAATGGGTCGAATATTTTTCCATAGGGGATGTAGCCCGTGTTTGTCCAAACGAAACCCCGAAATACTCAACGGTTTCACAAAAGAAGACGTTTAAATTTCTTGAGCTTCAAGCTCTCCTGAAGACGTTTCAAGATTGTTGCAAGTACTGTCATATGTTCGTAGTCGGTAAGGCCAGTAACCAAAATGTCGTCCAAATAAGCGCAAACTCCGGGTATGCCTTTCACTAAGTTGTCTATAATTCTCTGAAAGGTCGCCGGAACGGAGTGTATCCCGAATGGTAATCGGTTATAGCGGAATAATCCCATGTGTGTACTAATTGTAGTAATTTGAAAGGCCATAATGACCGAACATCGAAACGTGTGTGTGTGTGCGCGCGCGCGACGGATTCAAAGGAACAAAGATGAATTCCTTAGATTGGTCGGCTATTCTCCAGTATTCTCATCTTAAAAGCTAGCTCGCGTCGGGACCACGTTAGCTCCAGGCTACCAAGCGCTTGCTGCCTACAATATTCCACATTGGTTCTTGCATTCGAGTGAAGTATTTGGCGTATGAATCAACAATTATCTCGGAGGAACAAGTACTCTACAACGCTTCCTTACTGTTGTCATTGCAACGTTGGCTCATTTGTGTAAAGTGCACAATCCCGGCAAGTAACTGACTAGCGATTAACATGCTGATGTTGAGTGAGTGTATCTATATTTCCCGCTGTTCATCCGTCGTAATGAACTTAAGTGCGCTTAGAAAAGGCAACTATTATCTAGGTAATAGGCGAAGCGGAAGTGCAATGGTGCCTGTTAGAATTTGCATTCGAAATAGCCAATCCTCAGGATTGACCTAGAAGTAGGTAAGTTCAACTGTGGTGGTACGGCAGTGCTTTAGCACATATTTCATAGAAAAATAAATCCACGCACCGAAACAATTGATTTATAGCACAGAATAGCTGCAACCGTGATGTATGAAGACATATTGTTAGTGAATTGTAAGCGGTTAAATTTGCATGAGAACCGCAGGCTGCATGGGGAAATCATACGTTCAGCTAACCATCTTATCTGCGCCATCTGCCGAAGCTCTTGATACTCATTATTTGTCAACCCTCATGCGATTAACTATGCAATGTTTCTATTGCAAATCGTACAATGGATATAGAGATTCATTGTTTTCCTAGTCATGTCTAAGTGGTTCCATTCCAACCCCCGCTGTTAGCTACATTCGTGTCCATACTGTGCAACATGCCTAGGTGTCCCGTCACATACCAACTTGGGAGATTCTCCAGTCACAGGTGGTCATCCCCCGTGTTCTTCCCTTCATTCCCCTACGCGGTGTATAGCGAACCAATCGCGTAGCGTTGTTGGACCCATTATAAGAGCTGATTTGCCTTCCTTCTGCGCATTGCAAAGACCCGGTTGCACTAGGACTAAGGTATGTACATATTGCACTTGAGTTGTATTTCGTTTAATTGTGCCGTAGATAAGCGTCTTGGCTTTCTTTTTTGGTTAGAACCGAGAGTTTTTACCTGTTACTCAAGCCCCAAGCCAGTCTGTCGTTTACATAAATAGCTTATCGCTACAGTAGAGTATACAGCCACATCTGCCAACGGTTGAGTAATTCGATGTTATGTAAGCTACTTCTTGTAAATTTGCTAAAACAGTTCGAACACTTTTCGAAAGCCGAATGTAAGACAGGACACAGCGGGATTTACTAGATGTATTGTTCCTGTGATCACGTTGAAGCGGTTATCAGAGAATGTCATATTACCCACTTTTAACGCATATAGCAGACGGCATCTGCAGCATACACTAACGATAAGACATCTCTGTTTTGCTGTTCCTCTTATTTGTGCATCATTCCACCTGGTAACCGTATTGATGGCATTTGCTTCCCTATTCCTCTATCTGTCTCTATCTATTGTTGATGCCCACACTTTTGGCAAAATTTATGACTGTTATTTAGATTCACTTTTAAACATAAACTAACCACCGATAGTCGTAATGGTTGCTTATAATTGTACGTGCGATCTTCCAACACTAGAAGGATATGGCTTTCATTCTTACATTCGACCCATACTCATGCACGTTTGTAGTGTTATTGCTCATGAGGGTTATTGTTTCTCCATCCAGTCTGTGGTAGTCCATACCCAAGTGTGAACAAATGCCCGCTCGCAACACTGCAACTCGAACCAGGGACCTTTGGTTTGTCAACTGATATATCTACTTACAGTGGGCGGTGATCGTCATCATGTTGAATGACTAAGTGGAAGCCATTTAGAACCACCTGTAAGCGCCACACTTCAGCTTGACAGACTCGTGGTATTTTCACTCATGTGACATCATTATCTGCTGGCTTGATGTCTAACTGGGGCTCACCGAAATTACAAGTCACGGTAACATCTGTTCGTGTCTCGCTACGTTCTCACTTGACAGATGGGTCTTATCACATTTCTTCTCGTGTGACACCGTGACTTATTGCGGGTTGCAAAC